ACGTCTTTATTCCTACTCTGTAAGTATCTCCCTATCAATTTCTGCATACTTACTACTATATTAGGAATAGTTACACCTATTATCCGAAAAAAAAAATTATTTTTGCAAAGATGTACATATGGGCCACGGCAAAACCTGTAATTCAATGCCCCAAAGGCGTTCCAGAAAATCGCTGATCCTTAAATCGTGCACCCTCAACCCCTCAATTTCCCCCAATTAACAACCAAAAAACATATTTCCGTGATTGATCTTTACCTAGGTACCCAGTATTCTTCCGCTGGTCATATGAACTCCCCACCTGACAATGTCTTCAACCCGGGTCGGCCCGCGAAGGACCTTAAAACAGTGAATAAGCAAAAAATAGAATGCGCAATGCAACATGCCCCCACACCGGATTGAACGATGGACCTCAGCATGAACTCATTACATGAAGCGTACGAGTGCTGCGCTCTACCACTGAGCTATAAGGGCTTCGGACGCATGACCAAGGAGGCAATGACTCAGCAAGACCCACCTTAACAAGGAAGATCTCCAGTAAAACTAGCCCATAACGATTTCTAGAATCACCCCTGTAAGATCGGTTGAAATCGCGATTTTTCGGGGACGGGAGAAAATCAACAGCTTCAAAAGAAAACGTTATAGATATGCCAGCCTTCGTCGATTTCTATGTTTAGATAATTTCTAAATGATACGATCCTGTTATGTGACATCCCTAGTATTAGAGAACACCTTGTTGAACCTTAAGTTACCTTAGAACTTAGAAGAATACAACATCAATTCCACCGTGCCCACTCCTCATACCCTACTTCGTCCAATACCCTTGGCACAGGGGTCACTAGCGTTCCAATTATATCACCTGGAATGATAGTTCTTGAATGTGCTCCTAGGAGATCATATTTTATAGAGAACTTAATGCCCAAATCCTCAAATATACTGCCAACCGCTATTGACGATTCGATTTCGGAGTCGTTGCTTGGATTCGTTTTCGCCGAAATGCCAAGCACCACTTCCTCGAGAAGTGGGAACTTCTGTGGAGCGTCAATAGCAAGCTGACGCAGACACCTTCCTATGCCTCTATATACGTACGAGATTCGGAGAAATCGGATTGATGGCGGGAGTAGATCGATCAATCGATTGGCAGTATCGCGGTCCTCCTCTTGGTATAACAAAAAGCAGTCGATCGACAGGTACTCCAGCCTAGGGAACTCGCGGAGAGTTTCGATGGGAGGATAATGTATTACCGGTGGTTCGACCAACTTAGGAAATGGGTCGAGGTGAACGCTACGCGGTAGAAACCCAATACAAAGCCTCTTAAGAGTTGCCTTGACGGGCTCTAATACACCTGCTAGGACTCTGAAACCATACTCCTTTCCCTCATCCAGATCGTCCCAATAGTACTCCAAGTCCTCCAACTTCGGGGTGCACCGCAGCAGGTTCCCCAAGTCGTCCAGGATCAAATCTGAGATTGCTAGCCTTTTAACATTAGGTAACGGTAGTTTATAATCGCGATCGTAAACCACCCTAGCTATCCAGCCCGACGCTTCGCACGCGTAGATAGTTTCGAGGTTTGGTGCGGCTGCGTATAATCCTTCTAGTTCGTTGAAGTGATAGTCAAGCACATGCCCCACCATTGCCAAAGTCCGTAGAGACAACAGCTTAAGATGAGGAGAATCTTCCAGGGCAAAAAACCGAGCGTTGGTATCAATAGTGAGATATAGACTTTCCAGCCGCGGAGAGAGGACTATGGCAAGCGTAACCAGCCACCGGTGCAAACTCTCCGCCTGACCAAGCCGCCACTTTGAAAAGTGACCATCGAGCCAGTCGTCAGGTAAAGAAGGCTTTCTGAGGAGATTTCTCGAGATGCTGAATTCGATTAATGGCTCGATGGTCCGCATGTGAGTCTCATACCCCGCTAGCATGTCCGTTCGCACAATATGCATCGTGGTGACCTGTGCTGCCAAATCGGGGCGCTGAACGATGGTGCGGACAAATTGCGGGAGGAAGTCTAGTTTATTCGGGAACCCGACTCTGTCATCGATCTCTTTCCTTACTCTACTGTTACCAGTCGCGTAACAGTGGTATAGTATGGGCTGCGCGACGGAGCAGATGAACTTTGACGTCCGGCATAAGCGAGCCAGCACTTTCTTGTCGTTACGTTCGTTCTCAAGGTCGGCATTAGGGAACACGCCAGGATTTTGGCAGTGAAAACAGAAGGAGCTGAATATCTGAATAAGGAGTTCAACAGGGAGCGACTCCATCGCGGGGCCGGTTTTTAGGCAAAAAGCCTACAGGTAACGACGAGAGTCGTAACCAATTGAAAATTCATCTGGGTTCGGATTACAAAATACCAGATGAGTGTTATCAGCAAGACACCTTTCACAGGTTTAGAATATTTCAAGAAAAAGCAAAGGGGAGAATGGCGTTCCAGGTCACTGTGTAGGTATGTACCTACATATAGTAGGCGTTGTTGCGGCGAGATAGGAGTTCGCTACCCACTCAGCTTATCGCCGAAGCATGCATATCCTGTGTAACCGATAATAAGCCGACGCCACTAACCTAGTGGACCTTCTACTAACAGTACAGGCAGAAGATTGATCGCAGTTTCGATACACATCCCAACCATTGGTAGCTGTGGAAAGCTAGAAAGTAAAGTCATGGATATCTACCTAAACCTTCTATTTTACGACGTTCTACACACTACAACACCCTCGTCGCAAAAAGTCGGTGAAGCCAACATGCGTTTGTACCATTTTCACTGTAAACGAAGGTCAAGCTGACCCTCATACTTACTCATGCCCGTAATCATCATCCACCCCTAGTCTCACAAGTCCCAACGCGCGAAAGTAAACGGAACAAGATATATACTTTATTCAAAGCTCTGAAGACAGGTATATACACGACAGGCATCTCTCATCCCATATCCTACCTACTTAACTCTCCTTTCCCCTCTAACGCGTCTAACCGGGCGTCCCCCTCTCAACCCTCCACTCCTCTCACAAACTCACCACTTCTTAATCTTACGCATGCTGCCCTCCTCCAGCAGCGCCTTGTGCATATCGAAGCTGTTAAACAGCAAGTGGGGCTCGTGGCCCCAGCCCTTCTTGAGGCACTCGAACTCGGCCTTCTCGAAGTAGTCCCTGAGGATGGGGCGGTACTCGTCGTGGGCGCACTTATCGATAATCACGCGGGCGCGCTCGCGCGGGCTCAGGCCCCGCACGTCGGCGAGCCCGGCCTCCGTCACCACGACGTCGAGGTCGTGCTCCGTCTGGTCGACGTGCGTGCACATGGGCACGATGCAGCTGACGCCGAGCGGGTCCGTCTTCGAGGGGCGCGTCGACGGCGTGTGCATGATGCTGTACTTGGCCGAGCGCAGGAAGTCCGCCGACCCGCCGAGCCCGTTGAGCATGCGGCTGCCCATGACGTTCGTGCTGTTGGCGTGCGCGTAGATGTCGACCTCGACGGGCGTGTTCATGCCGATCACCCCCAGCCGGCGGATGATCTCGGGCGAGTTGGACACCTGCTGCGAGCGCAGCAGCAGCTTGTTGTGGTAGGACTCCCAGTTGTCGTAGAAGCGGCGGAAGCCGTCGGGCGAGAAGCGCACCGACGTCGCCGTCGCGAAGTCCAGCCGCCCCGAGTCGAACAGGTCCAAAAACGTGTCCTGGATCACCTCCGTCCACACCTTCAGGTTCCAGAAGTTGGACTCGCTGAGCCCGCCGATCACCGCGTTCGCGATGTTGCCGATCCCCGACTGCAGCGGCAGCAGCGACTTGGGCATGCGCCCGTGCGCCACCTCGTGCTCGAAGAACTCGATCAGGTGGTTCGCGATCGAGCGCGACGATTCGTCTGCGGGGGTGTTGTCCGTCGTCTGGTCCGGGTAGTTGGACTCGATCACGCCGACGACCTTTTCGGGATCGATGGGGATCGAGGTGCTTCCGATGCGGTCTTCGACGCCCATAATCAGGTAAGGTTTTCGTTTAGGGGGTAGGTCGGTCATTGTGATATCGTGAAGCCCATCGAAACTCGGGATCGCCGTGTTAACCTCGATAATGATCTAAAATTCGCCGCGATTAGTTTTCTACCTTTCATTAAAGGCCTGGTGGTTCCTCTTTCTGCCTACCTTGTCGGCAAGTTGGATAAGTTCCGGCGTCGCGCCAACTGAGGCGCCGGGAACTATGTTTCCATCCTCCTTTATTTCTGTTGCCTCAACCACCACCACGTCTAGTTTATTGGACGGTCGGTCTTTTGTGTAAAATCCCTACTGACATTAGAATTCGACGAATTCGTACCAGATTCGGTTTACTTACGTATACTAAATCGACTGGAAACATGGACAAATGCTTATCAAAGAATTTAATCCTCCCCTCGTTAATACCCTTTGCAATTGCCTTGCCGACTTGGTGCGGACTGCGTCTCTCAATCATATCTAAGGCAGCCCATCGGTTTTCCGTCTCAGCCCCCGACGAGGCACCGACAAAGAGTGTATAGCGCATTTTGCCTTGAAGGCCTTCCTTCTCTACCATGTCGGCTAAGACCGTAGGCATTTTCCTAAATTAAATGGCAAGAAAATTAGAGGGGACGATAGAATGGGTGAGAATGAGGCATAAGTTACGCACTTGGGATAGCCCACGCCAGTAAACCCCGACCAGCCAATGTAGGCGCCATTGGGAAAATGATGTAGCAATTCTTCAGGCCGCCGAAGCATCTTTAGCATAGACGGCCTGTGGATACGCGCCTTGAGAGCAGCGTTTGCTATGACCGACATCTTGTCACGATGCGAGCTCAGAAGCTCTCGTTAACAGGTAGCTAGCTATGGTGTAGGTCGGAGGGGCAGATGACGGAAGAGACGAGGGGCACGGCGGCGATTCTACTGCTAACAAGCGCACAAGCACAAGCACAGGAACAATCAATTAAGAGCAATTGGGAAAAAGAAAGGACGAAGAAGTTAAGAAAAGGAAATTAAATTGAAGAAAAAATAGCCTGGAGAGTGGAGAGTCTGGAGAACCCTTGGAATCACACGGCTCCAAGCTCCAGTCGCGAGTCGCATGTATTTGAAGCTTCTGGGGGAAATGGAGGACGCCGAATGGGCCCCGTGCTCCGAAAACGAGGCCCGTTATTAAGCCCATAAATTGCAAGTCTAGGCTGTCTGGGTGGTGCCACTATCGAGATCCTGAGCCTATTCTTCCTATTCGGGTTACTATGACAGGTGATTTTCCGGCAAGAATTTTTTCAATTGGTATGATAATGTATATCGTGAATATACCTTATTTTTATTCTATTTTTTTCTAGGTATTTTGTTGAGCGTTTCGATTTGGTTGATGTCAGAATGCGTAAAGCGTATTGTTGACTATGACGACGATCTGACGCCGGTCGTCCGTATCTGGGTAAACTAATTCGGCTATGGTTCAGGGGAATTCTGGAGACGGATCGGTCCGAGCAACGTAAAAATTCCTTTGGCCCGGAGAGGAAAATATATATCATACAACGAACCCGCATTGATTTGACGCCTGCAAAACGTGCAGCGGAGTTTCGGTGAAGGATTTCATGTCACTTGACCACACATTCGATTCATGAGTCTCAGACACTTCGAACTCATCCTAGCTTTGAAATAAAAGTTGGAGCTGCGATCCAATTGGAGAATGAGAGATAGCTACGTAAATACTAATAGATATGAATGAACGGGTATAAGTAAGGTCCACTTAGTAGTACATGGAGGTTTACTTAGTGTCAGGTAGCAATGCAGTTCTTATTCTAGAGCTGATGGCAACTCAGCCGCATCTCAAACATGGGCATGACTAAGTCCACGAGAAGATCAACTAGCATGGCGATTCCATAAACCGTTCCACATCTCTTTCCACATCTCTTTAAATCCGTAATGCGGTTGCTTCGAGTCATATATCTTAGCGGATTGGTTGCCCCCGCCAAACCTCTCCAATATTGAACTCGGGGTACGTGCGAAGCCATCGATCATTGGTTTGGATGGCCCGCCAGCTCTATCCTTGATAACATCTGCGACCTGAGGCGCAACATCAGCGTAGCAATTGTTTAGTTCTCGCTCGAGTGAGAAGTATGGTTTCCTAGCAAGTTCCGGTGCCATCAAGTTATAGGAACGCGTAAGAGTGTTCAGGGTAGTAATCGAAAGCTCCATATAAGATTTTTCGGTAGCTAACCAGTGGGGATCTCTGAAAGGGGGCGGCAGAGGTCCATCCCGAGATTTCGCCCCACCATCAGCCGTCTCCGGTGCCGGTTCGGGATGTGTACCTGATGTTGTTTGCTGTCGTATTTTGACCATGACCGGATCATCGGTCGAGTTGGTAGGTACTGCTATTTGGTCCACGTTACGTCGTCGCGGGTTATATACTTCTTCGGCTTCGGCATACTCCCTTGCCCGATTCATTTGGTCTTCGAGGGAACCGCCCTTACTTGAAATCATACGAGCAGCATGACGTTTCCAGTCATTTCGCAGCCGAGTTCTGAACGAATGAGCAGCCTTAGATAATTCTTGCTGCTTCTCAATCCATGGTGGCACTATCTCTTGACGTTTAATCATCTTATTCATGATGTACTCAGTTGTATCGATAAATGGATTATCAGCTCTCGTGTCTCGCTCGATGCCCTTGCCCCTCGGGATATTCTTGAATTGTCCTCTCGCGATAGCGTCTTCGATTCTCTCGTTCGCTAACGAAGCCAACCCCGTCAACGTATTCGGCATCGCCCGAGCGGCAGGTCTGAAGCGGTCGCGGAATTCCTTTCTCAGCGTTTCCCTCTCATCTTCGCTCAACCCGTCTTCCAGCTCTTTCATACCCATGCCAGCATAGAAGGAAGCTTTGTCTCGAGCGGTGGCAGCTCTGTGCCCGGCATTCATTTTCGGTTCTTTTTTAATTCGCAAGTCGACTGGTTGAAGGTCCGGAATTTTCGGTCGGCCTCGGAGTTCCCGTTTCAAAGGTTTATGTGCATCGTTGAGCATCCGTAGAACGGCATCTTCGGTAGTTTCGGTGCCGGTCCACGGCTGGCTCGTAGCTGTGAGGCGGGTGCCAGCACCAGCTGAAGATGGCATGCCAGCCTCAGCAAAAGCTGCCGCATGTTCTGATCGAAATTCGGCATCCTTCACTTTGGCAAACAGGCGTTCCTTCAACTCCTCCGAGAAACCTGCGTCTTCGACAGCTCGTCGGCCCGCTCTTCCTCCCGTCAACAAGGCCTCTTCTGTAGCTTCTTCGAGGCGACGGGCCATGGGCCCTAGCTCAGGATCGGTTGCCCCATCTGTTGAATTCCTGGAATCGCGCTTCGGTTTATCGCTCGTTGAGTTGGCGGGGGATTTGGTGCTGTACTTCCTCCATGGAGTAGTGGCGGGAACTCGAGCATTTCGACTGAGGTTTTGAGCGCATCGGGCGCAAACAAATGCAGGTATAATTCCTCTAGCCATTTCCGCCTTCTCTATAATACAATGATGACCAAAAAAGAGTCATTTTGTTTTGTTAGAACACAAATGCGACAAATTACATGGCTGCCGAATTGCGCTGTGGCAAAGAGAAAAAATCTCGGAGATAAGTTGTTAAAGCGGAAGATTAATAATGACGGCAACGAGTCGATAATAATCATCCGAGATTTAGCCGTTGGAAAAGGGGTAAAAGGGGGGTGTGGGCAGTTGAAATACCTGGAAAGATAATAACCGATATTACAACTTATTCTACACATATTTCTAGTAATTATTTGTTGACTCATGTCTAGGTAGGTATAAGTTAATTCAGTATCGTACAAATTAGAAGACTTGTTTCCCTTATCATCTGATTAAAAGGGGCAGAAGGGGGAAACCCGAAACGTTGATATACCAAGCTCGAAGAATCAAGCCTAGCTTTCATCGTCTACTCCATAATTCTCTGAGGATTTAACAGACCTAGATCTTGCAAACATCGATTTAACCTTTTTATGTAAGGCGCTCATCTCATATGCAGACCAACAAGCTCGGACCCCTGGTACGCAGCCAACTATAATAGCCAAAGAGCATTCAATGATCCTATCGTGTGCTTTGTTAGTGAGATCAAGTTTAAGTTCTGTAATCCTCTACTTACGTGCAAAACAGTGTTACCATGAGTGTGGTTGAGTGGCCTGTAAAAGACATCGACTTGTAATAGAGCGAGATAGCACTAGCAGAAGTTGCACTGGGAATGAATGAATACTTCATATGTTTCTGGGGCTTCATATAGGTGGTTTCAAGGATAAAAAAGACTTACAAGATGCCTGTCAGGAAAATGATAGCTATTCCGACCTTCTTATGGAACGGAAGATTGAGTCCGGCAATAGCTGGAAGTGGAAGGATGATGACAATGATATCGGTAAGAACCGCAGTCGACCCGTTGGCAACACCCACAGAAATTGTTGTCTCCAAACACTGTTCGAGAGGGGGCATATAATCGCTGGCTGAAACTTTTCGAGAGCAAGTTGCACCAACCACAGCCGTAGTCGTCAAGAATAGCATCAGTGATAATGCGAGTGTAGTGTAGGACATCATACGTAACCACTTCTTGACCCCGAAGATCCGGACATAGAGAACTAGAAGTGGAGTTTTCGAGAAATACATCGTGAATGCAGCAACAGTAGTAAGTATTATGGTTTGCTGTGATTCATATTATATCAACACAACGAAACAGGACTAAAAGAATCCAATTACTAATATACGTACACGTAGTACATAGTCTATAGTAGTAATTGGCATGTTTTCCACTTGTGAGCCTATTATCAAATTAACTTGGAATCCTAACTGAAAGGTCGAGAGAAATGCTTTACCAGTTGGCAACTCAAAAGTATAAGTTACTGCGGAATAGGAAGAGAGTAGAATAAGGGCGACGAGTGAAAGAACTGGTTTATATTCATTCTTGTTAGCCTACACATCCTCGCAATATCTTATATTAAATGCCTAGGTAGCCTTACAATCGTCAATAGATAAACTCCTATTCCCGCGGCTACAACTTGCTGCAATGCGTGAAGCGACAAAACAACCCGCAACAATATTCAGAAATATTATTGCTCCGAGAGATTTGGTTATTGACACGCTAGGCACTTCAACAGGTTCCATATTAGCAGGTTGGTATAATGGTGAATGATAGAAGACGACCGCGCTGTTAGAGTCTGGAGGCAATCTCAAGAATGACTACGGCCCTAAATTCATGACATGAACGACGCGGAGTATATATAATCAAAATTCGAATATGGCTTAGTATCTTGCTACACGTATTCCGAGAGGTTGTTCGGATCGGGACACAGGGCTGCATTTTTGATTGCCTGTGTGAGTAGTATTGACGACTTGAGAAGATGGCTGCGTCATATATAAGAGGCGGAGTGTGTGGTGTTTGAACCAACAACAGTGGGTTGAGAGATGCCATACGAGTTGGCCAAGGATAGACTCTGCTTGTTGTAACCTAACTTCTGTTGCTCAACAATAACACACAACTCCAGTACGCCGGACAGTCAGGGGACGGTACGCTCTTTATGGGTCTTTCAATTAACTACAAAGATATTAATCTAAAAGAGGAGATGATCAGCACCCTGCAGGGACGCCCCGCATTCTCTGTGGTAATCTTGAGCCCAGAAATTACCTCTGATAATGTATGCTCGGATCTTCAAAGTGCGGCGTGCGGCCGGCTAGTAGACCAGTCTCACCGCGGGGGCGAAACCAACATGGTGTCGGCGACCTATTCGAAGTGTGAAGCGTGCGAGGCACAGCCCGCCAAAGTCCAGTTGCGAACATATCGTTCGTGATAGATGGGGGGCTGGTACCTCCCCACCAAATCACGTTCTTTCATCAACCGCCCACCTCATCACCCATCTTAGACGAGCTAATCAACAGAGCCCTGGTCATTCTGAAAGTGGCCCGCCCTGTAGGCGGCCGCTGTATGCCTCAAATTCGGCATACACTACCCGGTCCCGGGTAGCGCACCGCAGTATACGATACATGCTTTCTCTTTACCTCAATGTCTGCGGCGAAGAATATAGCTATGCAGATAGCATGCCAGCTTGATTATGCCCACCCTAGCGGTCGGCCTCCCACCTGCAATGGTGGCTACAGCTGAGCTGGCCTCGCTGTATGTAGATCTGGACAGGGGAAAGGGTGGTGAGGTCTGGTACACGACGCACTCTCTCCCCCTCCGGTGCCCCGAAACCGTGTTACTAGATCCGTATAGTGAAGTATCTGTCGAAGGTGAGATGAAACCTTCTGCTAGGACATCCCTTTTCCTAGCACCAATCGTGTTCATAGGCCACAAGCAAAGACAAGAGTGGTATAAAGCCTGCGGGCCATAAGCCCGGTCCTAACCACACATCGTGTATACATCATGGCAACCCAGGCCACAACTCCTAACATCCACAGAATGTTTCGTGACGCTAACACCGGTATATTGTACGCGGTCGGCCAAGGACTCATACAGTATTGGTCAACCACCATCAATGTCAACATCGCATCGTCTTGGCGTTTCTACGCTACCGTCCATGACTTCCTCGAGTATACCGAGGGTGAGTGCCTTAAGTTTACGAAGGGCTTTTAACTGATTAAACCCCTTTGCCAAGCGTGCATTTATAAAGTACCTAATTAAATAATTTTTCAACATATTTCCAAAGGACAGAAAAAGTCACAACACAAAATCCCTCCGTAAACTCAGGGCAAATGAAAAACAAGCGGTCGGGGTGGGCCATCACAATGAGTCAGTAAGCACCATGGTGCTGAAACCCCCTATTTTTGCTCAGGGGTTACTATTCCAAACTATATCAATCCCCATTCTTGGAAAAACAGAAACTTCACCATCACGTTCAAGGATAGTAAGACTAGCAGTAACTGCGATAATCAGATACCCGAATCATCTTGGAACGGCCCGTTAGGGTTCCAGTGGTTGCTCGTGTCCGAAAACCACGTATTCCAATTGTCGCATACTCTTCTAGGCTCCTTGAGCCTCTCGTCGGTCATCATCTCGACCAATTCCTGTTGGCGCTCCATGAGCTGTATAGACAAGCCGCTTGAGGCGTGCCAGGCAATGTGACAGTGGAACACCCAGGTGCCGGGATTGTCGGCCTTGAAGGCAACAACGAGGTACCCCCCTGATGGCAGAAGTGCTACGTCACGCCGTGGTGGGTTGTCGAATTTCAGAGGGACGTTCGGAAGTTGGCTTGAGTCGTTGCCCTGAGCAAGAAGGGCGAAGTCATGTCCGTGGAGATGCAGCTATAGAAAATATTAGACTAAACTCCCTCAAATTTCATCCGTGTAGGTATATTTTTAACTTACGGGGTGTGCAGCCGGGACGAAAGTCTTTTTGGAGTCGACCTGACTGGTGTCGGGAGCCGTGATGACCATATAAACCCACCTACTCGGGTTATTAGGGTCATTTTCCGTGGTATTATCATACACTATCACGTAGTCCGGGTCAAACGACGCGTTATTGAGATTTAAGATTGTCGGGTTCGAGAAGTTCAACCACAGAGGGTTCTTCCCAAAAGACCAGAATAAGAAATTGTCGGCCGGAGCTGGTCTATCTGGCTCGTTCTGTAGCCCGATATCATACGGTGGCTGTTCGGCGTCCAGAGCGGTCAAATTGACTTCCGGAATATTCCACTTATAGATAGGCTCCAGCCTCTCGTAATTTTCATCGCGACAAGCTAGGGAGTAGTCTTCTCTAAAAGTATTAGGCATAGTGGTGTTGGTAACATTGTATTGGAGTATATTAGTATTGGCTATGCAAAGCTTGCCTTTGTATCTTAACGGGTATTGCGCTTTAATTAATAAAACCGCAGGTAATTAATAAAAATGTCGAAGATTATCTAATATATTATATTTTGCGGTGATTTTTATATAAACTAAAAGTAGTTTACTTTAAATATATATTATTTTTTATAATAATAATTTAACTTTTTTTAATCGTATATTTATTAAATATTTATATATGAAAGTTTCGGTTAAAAGTTTAAACCATACATTAATAAATTAAATGGGTTAAAATTATATAAATTAAAAAATTTTATACCGTATAATATTTTTTTTTTAATAATTTTATTATTTAAATTATAATAATTTTTTATTAAAATATAGTTATAAAATTATTATTAAATTTAAATTTAATTAAAAATTAATATAATATTAATATATTAATTATTTTATTTTATATTAAATAAAAAAATATGGCTTATAATTTAAAATTTTTAGCCGGAATTTTTTAATAAAATTTAAATTTTTTAAAATAAAATATTTAAAAATATAAAAGTTTATTATATAAATTATATATATTTTATTATAAAATATATTTTTATAACATTAAAAAATAATTAATTCCGTGCTTTATTTTTTTAATTTTATTTATAATATTTTTTAACGATATATTAACTTTCATTTACATTATTATTATTTTTATTAAAATATAAAACTTTATTTATTAAATTTTATTAAATATTTTAACCTTATTATTATTTAATATATACATATAAATACCGTTTATTTTTACACATTAATTTTAAAGTTTTTCCATAAAAATTATATTTTACTAATATTATAAAACAACATTATATTTTCCTTAATAATATTAAATCCTTTTTTTTTAACTTTTATAATAATTTCTTAAAATCTCGTTTATTAAAAATCTTTAAAACCTTTTTAAATCACCCTTAAAAACATTCTTTTTAATTTTTTAACATTTAATAAAAAATGTCGGTTTAATTTTACATTAAATTATAACAATTTACCGGTTAAAAAACTTTAATTTTATTATTATTAAAAATAATTTATTTTAAATATTATATTTAATAAAACTAATAATTATTATAAAAATTCCATATTAACATAATTTAAATTTATTATTAAATTTAATAACTTTTTTTAAAAATTAAACTTATTATTTAATTCCTTTTAAAAATTAAATTTATAATTTATTTTTAACTTAATAAAAAAATTTCTCGCAATATTTTCTAATCTTTCTAAAAAGGCCGGCTTTATTATTACCGCGTTAATTTTAAATATAAATAATAAAAACATTATTTAATTTAAAACATACCGAAAAATAAACTTTATTATAAATAAAATTAATATATTATTTAAAATGAAATATAATTTTTATAATAATAAAAAAAACAATTAATTTTTTACTTAAGTTTAACACGTTATTACTTACGTTAAATTTAATCCATTAACCTTAATAATAAAAATATATAATAATGTTTTAAAATATAATTATAAAAAATTATATTATTTATTATATAACCCTTAAATATTTTTTATTAAAAAAACTATTAAAAAATATTTATTTTTTTACATTAACTTTTTAATATTTAATTAATTAAAAAATTATATTTAAATATTATTTAAAATTAATTATAAACATTTTATTACGTTAATAATAATTAATAATTTTTTTATATAAAAATATATTTTTATAAAACTTATATTTAATTAAGTTTTTAAATATTAAGTTTTTTTATTTTTAAAATTTAAATTAAATTTATAAAAATATTTAAATATATTATAATTTAATATTAATAAATTTTTATTTCTTTATTTAATTATAAAATATAAATTAATAAATAATAATTTATAATATATTATAAATTAATATATAAATGGTTTAATAATATTTTTAAATTAAATTAAAAAAATAATTAATAATAAATAAATTATTTTTAATTTATATATAAATAATTAAATTATAAATATTTATATTATATAATTAATTTTATATATTAATGAAAATTTTAAGCGAAATTATTTTATATATAAATTAAATAATTTCTTTTTATTTAAAAAGAATTAATTTAAACGGTTTTAAAAAATTTTAATTAATATTTATAAATAAATAATAATAATTAAATTAAAATATATTAATTAAAAATTAAGTTAATATTTAAATAAATTAATTATATTAACTTTGTTAATTATTATTAACTTATTTAATAAAAAGATTTAATTTTTAATTAATAAATTATTATTTAAATAAGTTTTTAAAAATTAATTTAATTATAAAACTTTTAATAACTTTAATTAAATTTCCGATAATTCCGAAAATGTTTAAAATATTTCTTAAACGTTAATATTTTTTATTTATTTTTAAAATCTTATTTAATTTAATGTAAAAATAAAGTATTTTAAATAATAACCCCTTAATTTATCGTATTAAAATTTTATCGTTTTTTATTTAACTTTAAATTAATTTTTTAAACCTTAAAATAATTTCCTCCTTTTATTTATTATTTCGTTACGTGTTATATTATATTAAATTAAATAATTATTTAAATATTATAATAATTATATTATTATTAATATAATTTAAATTTAAAATTATTTCCATCGTTTTTATTTTTATTAATTATAATAAACTTTATTAATATTATTATTAATATTAAAATAATATATTTTTACGTTTAAATTTTAAAATATAATTAAAGCTTTAAATATATATAAATTTATAGTATTTTATATTAAACCTTACGTTTTTTTTTTATAAAATTATTTTAATATATTTTATTATTAAAATTAAATTTTTTAATTTATTATTATTATTATTATTATTATAAATAATTTTAAGATTATTATAATAATTAAAACTATTAACTAGTTTTTAACTTTTATTTTAATTAATATTATTTTTATTTCCCTTTTTATTTTTACGGTTTTATTTATTATAGTTTTTAATAATTTCATTAAAATTAAAATTTAATTAATTATTTAAGCTTTTAAAAAAAATTATTTTAAGTTAATAATAAAAGTTGTTTATTATTTTAACGTTTTATATTACCGTATATGTAATTATTATTACGGCACTTATTTATATAATAAAAACGGGGGAAATAATTAAGTTTTTACCCTTTTTTAAAAAATGGTTTTTTATATATAATTTTATTAATTAATTAAAGTTAGTTATTATATTAATACGTAATTTATATAATATATTATTAATTAAGTTATTAATGTTAATTAAAATTTACGCTTTTAATTTAAATATTTTTATTAATAATAAATAATATGTTTTTTATAACGAAATTACGTTATTTTTAAACGTATTCATAGTTAATTAATATTAGTAACATGTAAATTAATTAATAATTATGTTATTATTTATTAATAATTTAACGATTTAAAATATATAATATTAAAAAATAATATTAAATTTAAAAATATATATAATATAAATAAAATTAATTTTAAAATTAATTATATTAACGGTGTTTAATTATGGATTTAAATTAATATTACTAAGTTTTATTTAATTAATTTTAATTTTAAAATATTTATTATTATTATTAAAATTTATTTTATTATAAGATTAACGATTTTTTTATTTTTAATTTTCTTAAGTTATTAAATATTTAAAAGCTGGTTTATTAATTATTTTAAAGATAAAATAATTTTAATTATTAACGATAATAATTAAATAAATAATATAATAACTTTGGAATGGCTTAATTATTTCATTTAATATATAATATTACGAAAATTAAAAAAAATATATTTTTTAATTTTTAATAATTATGAAAGTTATTTTATAATTAAGTTTTTTAATATAATTAATAAAGCGAATATTATAATGTTTTTATTACCGTTATATATTACGTATTTAATATAATTATTAAATAAAGGTTTTTTTAATATTTTAAAGTTTTAATTTTAATAATAATTTATTTATTTCGTTTAATAAAATATATATAACTTTAAGAAAGTTAATTTTTTAACTAAATATTATTATGTATACGATATAATATTCACGCGGTATAATATTTAAAATACATAATATTAATATAAAATTTTACCTTATTATTTAAACTTTATATTAAATTAATTTTAAAATTTTTTATTTTTAACCCCTTTAATTATATGTTATTAAAATAAATTAAAGTATATTATTTTTATTCCCGGTTAATTTAAGGAATTATTTAAAATATTTATAATATTATATAAATATTTTATTATTAATTAATTAAATATAATTACTTTTTTAATGAATTTACGAATAATTAAAAAATATAATAAATACGTCGATTTATATATTAAATGAGCTGAAATTAATTAAATCCCCTTGTTTTTAATTATATTATATATATAATAAAAAGTTAAGAAAACTTTATATATAATAATTATTAACGGTTTTATTATAATAAAAAAATTTTAAAAGATTCGTTTTATTATAATTTAATAATAATAATATATAAATAAAAAAAAGGTTATATATTATAACGGATTAATTATTATTAATAATAACCGTTTTCGTATAATAATTAATAATAAATAATAACGAATTCGGTAATATATTAAAAGCGAACGTTATAATAAAAAAATTTAATAAATAAAAAAAACTATATTATATCGGTGGTTAATAAATATTTAAATAACACTTAAATTAATAATAAATCGAAAGATTTTTTAACGGTATAAACCTTTTTTAAATAATGTAAATTTTTTCCGTTATTTTTATTATTTTTAACGTAAATTACGTAAATTTTTTTAATATTATAAAAATAATATTATTAAAATATATGTTATAAAACTTAATTACTTTATTACGTAAAAAAGAATTAATATAATATACCTTAACCGATATAACCGTAACGCGTTTTAAAATTAATGGATAAAGTTTTTTTAAGATACTTTTATTTATATGTTTTTATATAAATTAAATTTCGCGTTTATTAATGAAATAATTAATGTTTATTATTATAAAAAAATTACTTATATATAATAAAAATATAAGATGTTTTATAATAAATAAAAAACTTTATTATAAATTTTTAATATTAATGAAATTAATATTTAAGTTATTTTAAAAACATTAATTAAAAATGTTATTAATAATAAATTAAAAGAAATAAACTTTAAAAAAAACTTAAAATAAAAAGGTTATTATTTTAATATTAAGTTTAATAATTTCGAATAAAATTATAATATTTTATTTTTATTATAAAAATTATATTATGTTTTTTTTAATAAATTTCACCGCTTTTCCCTTTATTAATTTTAATAAAAAAATAACTTATTAATAATAAAATAATATTCCGTTTTAATATATTATTAAATAATCTTTTTATAACTTTCGATAAAATAATCTTTTTATATTTTATAATGAAATTATATTTAATTATTAATTAAAATTTATAAAGTTTACTTTAATTACCATTAAAAAATAAAAAAAAATTATTATTTATTTAAATAATAATAAATTTTTTTAAATAAATAAATAAAGCGCGTTATAATTTATTTAAATAACCACCCGTTTTTTTAATAACTTATTAACTTTAATTAATTATTTAATTTAATTATAAAGGTTATATATCTTAATTATTTTTAATTTTATATAAAGATTTTTAAAATTAATTTATAAAAATTTAATTTTTTTATTAATATTTATTATAATAATTTTTTTATTTATTATAATAATTTTTTTATTTATTTAAAAAGTATTATAATAACCTTTTTATTTATTATAGTAATTTTTTTACTTATTTAAAAAATATTATAATAATTTTTTTATTTATTATAAATATTTAAAACCATTTAATTATTTATTTATTAAAAAAAAAGCAAATAATTAATATTTAAATAAATATTTAAATATTAAATTAATATTAAATAATTATTAAGTAAGTACATATAATATAAACCATTTATTTTTTTATATACTTATTAATTTTAATTAATTTTTAAACTTAGTTATAAAGTTTTTAATTTTTTATTTATTTTTCCGAAAAATTATTTTATATAAAGATTTTTAAAAATTAACTTATAAACATATAAACTAATAACCGTTTTACATTTATTTTAAGGATTTAAAAATTTAATAACCTAAGTAAATAATTATTATTAAAACATTTATTAAAGTATTTTTTAATTATTATTTAAATATTTATTAAAATAATTTAATTATTACTTATTTATTTAAGTAAACATTTATTAAAATAACTTAATTATTTTTTAAGTAAATACTTATTAAAGTAATTTAATTATTACTTACTTATTTAAATAAACATTTATTAAAATAATTTAATTATTATTTAAATAAATATTTATTAAAATGATTTAACTATTATTTAAATAAACATTTATTAAAGTAATTTAATTATCCTTTAAACAAACATTTATTAAAATAACTTAATTATCACTTAAACATTTATTAAAATAATATAATTATTATTTAAATAAACATTTATTAAAATAATTTAATTATTATTTAAACACTTATTAAAATAATTTAATTATTATTTAATAATTATATAATAAAATAAATATTTAATTATATATAATTATATAATATATATTATATAAAAAATATATAATATTATTACGAAACAATTTTTTAAATAAAAATTATATATTAAAAAAAACTTAACCCGCTTTAATTATTTTCTATTTCCGTTATATAATAATATAATTTATTATTTTTTAATTATATAAGTTTACTTTAATTTTATTAAGGTTTTATTAAATTAATAAACTTTTATAAAATGTATTAATTTATTTTTTTATAATATAAAAATTATACCGTATTATATCGTTTAAATAATAATTAACTTAATAAAAAACGTTAAGTTTTTAAAAGTATAATTAGGTAATAAGCTTAAATGGTTTAAATATTTAAAAATCATTAAAATAAAAATAAAAAAATAATAATATATTTTTTTTAAATTAACAATTTTAATATAAAAATACAACGTATTAAAAATAAAAGAAATTTACATTAAAATAATAAAAAATGTTATAACGTTATAACATATAAAATAACCGCATAATATACTTTAAATAAAAATAATCACGTTAAAAACATAACGGAAAAACTTTATAACATTTAATTAACTTACTTATAAAAAATAAACGAAATATATAAAACCATATTTATATTATAATTAAAATTAAAAATAAAATACCCACCACTTAACTTATATTTAAATATAAGGTTAATGGAATTTAAAAATAAAGTTAAGTTTTTAAAATTTAATAAATTAATTTAAAAAACCGGGGATAAAATTATAAAATAAATCCTTAAATATAAACCGAGCTAAAACTAGCAAAATCGCGCTCCACTTTTAATAAATTTTAAATATAATTATAAAGCTAAAGAAAAATAATTAAAAAAATAATTTAATTTTAACTTAAAAAATAATATATTAAAAAAATAAAATAAATTATAAAAACCAACGAAAAAAACCCCCCCCCCCCCCATCCGCAACCCCCCCCCCCCCCCCCCCAAGGATATAATAATTAAAGAATAATATTATAACTTATAAAAATATAAAACCTTAATTTATTATAAGTTTAAATAAAAAAAATAAAATTAAAAACATTTTTATTTAAAAAAAAAATTTTAAATATAAACATATTTAAATATAATTATAATAATAAATAAAAAGAAATTATATATTATATAAGTAATTATAAAATATTAACGGTATATATATAAAAAAATAACGTTATAAAAGCGGATTACTTTTAAGAAATTATTAATATAAAATAATTATTTACATGCTTTAATTAATTTAAAAAAAGTAAACATAATAATAAAATGAATTTTAAAGAAAAACTTTTTTTTAATATATAAAGTAGTATTATTATTAATAATAAAGGAATAAATATAATTTAAATGAAAAAAAATTAAATAATTTACGTATTAATAGCGGTAAATAAAAAAAATAAATATATTACCATTATAATAAAGCTTATAAAAAATAATTAATATTTATATTTATATTAAAATAAACTTTAAAATTAATAAAATAAATCTTTTAATTAATAAAAAATAATATTAATTTTTTAAAAAATTATAATTAATAAAATAAAATATTAAAACAATTATTTCGTATTATATTTATATTATATTTACATTACCATTAATAATATTTAATTATAATTTTTTATTAAAAAAAAAAAATATTTTTTAAAAATAATATAATTTTATTAAATATTTAATTTAATTATTAATAACTTTTTAAGCTTTTTATAAAATTTAATTTTATATATATTTTAATATAAATATTTTATATTTTTAAGAAAAATATAATAATATAAAACATTAATAAATGTAATTTAACCTTTAATAATTTATTTATAAGTTAATAATAATAAATAAAAAATAAAACGTTTTTATATAAAAAATAAATTAAAAAAATATTTTATATTAAAATATAAGTTTTAAAAATAATACCGTTATAATATATTTTTTTATTTTTAAATTTATTTAAAATAATAAATTAAAGTATTTACGGCATTAATTTTAAAAAGTTTAAACGTTTTATAATATTAAGTTTTTGTTTTTATAAAATTAACCTTTAATTAATGTACGGTATTAACGAGTTTAATTTAAAAGTGGGTAAAATATTAATAAATGTTATTAAGGTAATTATTAAAATAGTACACGTATTTTTTAATTTTAGCGAAAAAAGGTTTTACGTATTTTAAAATTTAAATGAAAACGAGGAAATTTCTTATTATACCGAAAGTAATTTAATAAAATAATTAATTAATAATTAATAATAAAACGGTGTTAAAACGAAATTATATTATTTAAGGATTATTTATATAAATATATTTATTTTTTTTATTTTTATAATGAATATAAATTTTTATTATAAACTAAAAATATTAACATAAAAATTTTAATTTAATATTATAAATAAGTGAAAAGTTTATAAGCGTAATATAAAAACATTTTATATAAAAAACTTTCAAATTAATAATATAAAAAAAATCCGAGGTATTTATAATAAATTTATGTTAATATCGTTAAAAATATAATTATAATTTATTATTAAAAAAAGTAAAAAAAGTTATTTATAATAAATTTATAACATAAATTTTTCTTTATATAAATTTTAATTAATAAAAGGCTTTTTTATATTAATAAAAATAATTATATAATCCTTTTTAAACTTAATAATATAAAAAATTATTATTATTATAATAAAGGGATTTATATTTATATTATAAATATAATAATTATAAGTTAAAAATGTTTTTATTTATTTAATAAATTTAAGGTTACTTCGATAATAAAATAATATTAATTATTATATAATAACCTTATTTTAAATCTTTTATATTATTATTTTATGTAAATGTATTTTATATTATTTATATAATTATTTTTTTTTTTTATTTTTATTATTTTTGTTAAAACATTTCGCACCTTTTATATACTTTTTTTAATTTTTAATAATTATGTTTAAGGTTTTTATTAATGGTTAATAAATTTATATTATTAATAAATTTTATTATTAAAATATTATTTTATTTTAATTTTTTATATAAAATAATTATATATAAAATAAATAAAATAAGTAACAGGAATAATTTTTAAAGTATTTTAACTTTAATTTATTAGTTTTTTATTTTTTTTTTATTAAATATTAACTTAACTTTTTTATCGTATATAAAACTTATTATTTATTTAATTATTTAAGAAAAATAACTTTTTTAATAGAAAATGTAAGTTATTTTTTAATATATTACATTATTAAATATTTTTAATATATTTAATTAAAATAATAACGTTATTTCATTATATTTTTACGTTAAATAAATATTTTTAATAACCATTTATATTATTATTTCGGTAAATTTATATACCTTATTTCCCATTTATTTTTCGGGGAAAATATGTTTTTTTTTATTACGGTAATAATTTATTTTATTATTACTTTTTTTATAATTTTCCCCATTACATTTAATAATGTAATAAGTTTATATACGTTAAAAAAGGATTTTTCTTTTTTTAATTTATTTGGTTTTAATAATATTATTATTATTATTTTTTAAAAAGTTTTAAAATAATAACTTAATATAAAACTTTACGTTACGATTATAATTAAAGCCTAATATAATGGTTTTTTATATATTTTTAAAAATTTAATTAAGAATATATTTTTTTAAAAGCTTTTTAAAGTTTAATATTTTTAAAAATATATTTAACTTCTTTTTATTTAATTTTCTTTAATATTTAAAAAGTTTTTTTTTTTTTTTAACTTAAGTTTAAATTAATTAAAATATCCGATAAATTAATTATTAAGTTTAAAAAAAAATATTACGCTAATAATGTGTTTTTATTTTAATGGTTTTTTACTTAAAGTTTTTCTATAATATTTTTTTTTAAAAATGGGATTTAATAGTTAATGTTGGGTTATTAATTTTTTAACTTAATATATTTTTCGATTTTTTAAAGGATATTATTATTTTTAAAAGCTTTAATTATTATCGTTTTAAAATTATCCCTTTTAATGGTTTTAATTATTTTTTTATATTTAAGGTTTACCGTTTTAAATTCGTTTTATAATTAAATTATTTATTATATAATTTATTTCCGTTTTTATTTAATTATATTTTCTTTTACTCGTTTTAATTAATTATTTCATTATTTTATTATTTTATTATAAAAAACTTTACACATTTATATTATTATTTCCGTAATATTTTTTAACTTTTAACTAAATAAAAAATATATTTATTTATATTTTTAAAATTATTAAAGTTATTAAATATTATTATTTTCTTATATTTAATTTTTATTAATATTTTATTTAATTTTTTTTATATTTTATTATTTAATTTTAAATAATTATATAATTAAATATTTAAATTTTATTATATATATATAAAAATTATAATTATATATTAAACTACTTTCAATTTATATATAAATTATATATAAAACGGAAGTACCTCGACATTTTTATTAATTATTTGCGGTTTTATTAATTAAAACGCAATATCCGTTAAAATATGAAAGCGAGTTTTACATAGCCAGTACTAATACCCTGACATTCGTCAGGCGCATTCCCCGTCTCGAATCCTTGGCAGTCATCCGCTGTGACTGTGCGAATCCAGTAGTTCCCATCAGCCGATGCAGGTAACGAATCAGTGTCGGTAGGAATTGCATTCAGAACGATGTGGTATCTTTGGCCTATCAAATGTAACACATGTTAGTAATTGTACATATAATTGAGTTGATAAAATCAATTTACCAATTCCTATGACAAGGTGTGTCACGTTGTAAGGGGTAACCGGAACAAAGTCCGAAGACATCACTGTGAAGTTGTGGTTATCAATGCTGAAGATCCAAGTCGTGTCAACGGATGTATTGATGACACGCAGGATATATTTTTTGCCCTATAATGTAATCATTAGTTCCTCTTGATATTCCTTGAGGGGTATCTCCTTACTTTTGTCACGGTCATGTTGAACCTCTCATGCGGGTAGCTACCGGCATAATTTCCTACGAATGGTAAGTTAGGAAACTAATGGAGTGATTAAGGGAGAGTTGAGAGATAGAAACATACCAACTCCGTTGATTAGCACACTATCCATCTTTGGCAGGGATGGAGTAGGCACGAGTTCTCGCTGCCAGGCCTCGAATGCACTGTGATGGCTCCAATCGGTGATTAGTATAGGATCTCTTCCTTCATCGAAATTAGACGATGATGGGCCGAAGATAGTGATAGGCCCAGCTAGGCCGTCTGCGTATTGCAGAGAGTAATGTGAATGATACCACGAGGTACCATATTGAACGGCTTAATGACGTGCAAAAGTTTTAGCTAAAGATTCTGAAAGCGCAATATGGACTTCCATACCCTTAAATTCGTAGGTGAAGCTATCGCCTGGGGCGATAGGGCACTGCGTGACACCATTGACACCGTCCATTTCCATAGTTCCATTTTGCCTGATACCGTGCCAGTGGATCGTTGTACCGTTATACTGGAGCTTGTTCTTGATGGTGATCTTGATAGTGTCCCCCCAGCAAGCCTTGATCCAGGGTCCGGGGTAAGTCTGATTGAAGACCTTGCCTCCAGGGTTTAGGACACCGTCACCATTAATCTCCATCTCGTCGACTTCTAGATAGTACTGTTACGAAGTCGATTAGATAAAATATGATCACGGAAGTAGGGCTACTTACTTCTCGGAGGATCCCTGTAGGGGCGAAATTCTCATAGTCTGTAGTTGTGTTGAATTCTTGTCCTGTATCACTGTTCCTGATCCAGCATGAACGGTTGTCCGGGGTCGAACATGACGTCCAGTTGCCTTGGAGGTTTGAATAATCACAGATGAACTCTGGGCCCGAGTCTGGGCCATTGGGTGCCGGGAACGTTAAGTTCTCCTTTCTGATATGAAAGCCGCCAGGGGAAAGGACGGCTTGGTTTGAGCCATCGTTTATAAGATGGAACGGTAAGGTGAAGATAGCGGTCACGGATACAGCAACAGCTTTACAGGCGTCGTAGAAACCCATATTGGCTAGCCTTAGCAGCGAAATACGTTGAAGAGAGATTTGGAGTCAAGCACTCGAAGGAATAATGCAATTGGGGACGGACGCAAATAAATCCACAGCCTTGTATGGAGAGTCCCACCCCTATTTTAGCCAGCTGCACTTATCCCTACACCAAAGGGAGGGTATCAGCTCGTAAGATACCGCCATGGCTCTGGTGGCTTTAAAAGGCTTTGTTGGAGGCTAGTCTTTGGAGCAGGCTATACAAAGAGTGTTTCCCGTATGCATACCGCAAATCAATAAGGCCGCTGTTTCTTAGTCCCTTGGCTCCGTCTCATGACAATATCAATGGCCGATTCTAGTCGCCGGAACTGACCAGCACATCGCTCCTCACCGAATGACGGCAGTGGTTCTCGAGACCGGGCTATCTCTCGGCGCATTATTCCTCCTCTGCTATGAAGAAAAGGACGATATGCTTGCAGGGAACAGGTAAGCTAGCAGCGGTGAGCTCGATTGATAGGACGCCGTATGAAGCTGAATAGGATATTATCCTCTGTATCTGACGTTAGAAACGGGAAGCCAAGTCCAGCACGCCACTGACGATGGGAATGTAGGACGAAACTTGTGTAACGGGCCAAGTAGATGAACATCTGGGCATGTAAGCCCTAATGGTAAGCCGTCATAGCCTTCGGATGAGTACATTCGCCGCAATTGGAAGAAAGCCACCGATTGTGCCGTATCCGCGAATTTTTCAAAAGCACCTGACACAAAATGACTAATTTAGGTATTATACCTAGGTACTATAGGTAGTCGTATGGTATTATGTGAGGATGCTTGAACTTCGTATATATGCGAGTTTCGCTGTTTAGGACTTCCCGTCAGATTTCAACAGTCGTGAAACGCTTACAGTTTTTTTGGCGTGCTGAACAAAATTTCAGCTTTTACGTGGTTTAAATATATTGGTTCATATCAAATCACTGCAATTGAACATGACAAATCGACAATCAGATGTAAATTAGTTTAATGAACTATACATAAGTAGGTAGTTAGTTACCAAAAGGCCGCAATGGGTCAACTCAAGTATAGGCAGAATTACGCCCAGAATCGTGATAGTGCGCGTATTGATACCGATTTGAGATATCTTAGCCGTGAGCCGTTCCTTAAAGAGGTAGTACGGTAAGCTGCCACTTCATTGATATGTATGTTTTGCTAATATAAGACTCATGACGTCTATTCGAATTCAAGAATGTCATCTTTAAGAGTGTCGGAACACAACCACCCCTGAAACCAGTGAACACAGGACAAAGACCTTTTGATAAGCGAATTGTGTGGCCTTAAGATAACCAATAACGTTCATTAGTCTTGATCGTGAAGACCTCTTAAGAAGTAGTTTCCGCCCCCCTAATTGGCCTATAGCAAGGCTTTCTCACCATTTCGTTTTCAAGGGTGGGTAATTGTATCTCTACGACACCCTAGCAGATAACTCTTGCCCCTGCCGAAGCTTACTCTGATTTATCGAGCCGTACATTTTGGTGGTTGAGACTCATGTCTCCAATCAATATCAAGCCAGCCACATTTCAAGCCTCGGTTGCATCGTCAAAAGAAATGCCCAATAGCTGGATCATTCATTGACAAAAGGCAAAAAAATTATTGCCGATGTCTCAGAATAATCGTAGTTGTTGAAGTTCGCTTATACTTCCCGGATGCCATGAGGCGGAGCCACAAGACTACCTAGGTAAGAATCAACGACGTCGTTGCACGAAGATACCTTATATACGACAAATGCATTTTTAAAGTTAATTGTGTTGAAATAGACGCAAGCTATGAGTATTATTGATGTATATTAGAAGGTTAAGTTGCTAGAAGTAGGTATAGGCTGTTAGATAGTACATTATATACCTGTGGATACAGGGCGTAGACTCCCAGCCACCTAATATTCCAGCAAATTGCTTCGTCTTTTCTTGAATAGTTCCTGTTCCTTGAGTGGGATTAGAGCGCCGGGGAGCAACGGGCGGTTAGCGGCCAATACGGGGTTGGTACTTCGGCATATGCATAGCGCCATAGAACCGGCGTTTCCAGCTTTTTCCTGATCTTGATCACCACCACCCTCCTTTTGCTCTCTAATAGCTTGTGCAGTAGCTACTGTAATCGATCCTCCTGACTGTAGATGTTTATTTTGAGTTCTTCGTCGCTTACGAAGTGGGTCATTTGACTCTCTACGCCCGATCACCTCCTGACGCAATAAAGTGACCTCATGCATTAACTTGTACGTAGTTTTCCTGATTTTACCGAGGGCGTCTGTGATCTTAGTTGGTGAGCTACTTTGATGATCTGTGATATGGGTTCGAATCAATTGAGCTTGAGAAACTGCGTCTGTGATAGGTTTTTGGTGCTGAAGAAACCCAAAGAGTGGCGATAGGTTCGATCCCCGGGCTAGGCGTTCGAGGCAGTTTCACGATATCTAATTTCGCCATAACTTAAACTAGATTAAAAGGAACTAGCCCAGTTCCCTTGAAGCCAGCCCGTATATTTGCTTCGCCGGAAACTCTTTGATACGACTCCTTGAACGCGGGAGAAAAGTCTTTTTTTCCTATAGGTGTAATATAGCGGTGCATTAGACCTTCAATAACAAGACCGTAGGCCCGTTTTAAAGGAGTGAAAAGGCCTAAATATAGAGGCTAAAGCTTGTGTAATGAGTGAGGAGGTACACAGAGAGTGATGATTTGTTTTTGATACAGTATTCCTCAAATTCGGCGGAGTGGTAACCTTCGTGGCCACCTAATATCAGAAGGCGTTTGGTGCCTACTTGATGCTTGTTTGAATGGAAATCAAAGTGTTTAATCCATTCTAAGCATCTCTCATTATTAGTTCACCCATTTTTAGTTATTGATACCACCCAGCCGCCGAGAATGTTGCTATCGCGATACTAGGATGCGAGGTGAACCTTCCCCGCCACAATGATGAACGGCGGTATGTCCCAACCAAGGGAATTTGATTGACGCAATTACTGTAGCCCACTCCTTATCACCTTGCTGCGCCTGGTGAGTTCTGGAGCGCCTTTCTGACATCATAACAACCAGTCCTGTACTGGTAATTCCCATCATAAACCCAGTCACGTCAAAGTTGTAGATATCGTCAGGTTGGATACGAAAATTATCAATTGTGGCAGCATCAAGGTTAAACCATCTGCGAAAAATAGCAGCATCTTCGCAGGATACTCTCTGATAATCTACACTTCGATGAAAACGGGGTTTGAGCTCAGATCGTCGTGAAACGAACCGCGAGGCCGAGTTGCTTCCAACTTTGCCACCACTACGCTTGGCCAGTAGAAGATTCGCCATATCTTCGATACAAGCAAGTTTGGGAGGAAAACATCTTTCATCTAGGTCTTTTACCTTCTCGATAATAATTTCTTCTTCTGGCGGGTGCAGCTTCCTGCTGGCAGTCGAGATATTGCTCCTCGGAGCAGTACCGTGTTGGCAATCGCGGAGGGTGGAAGCAGTAGCCAAAAAACTAGGAACTTGGGACTGTGCCGGAAGCTCATTTTTTACTTAGGTACATAATTACGAGATGAATACAATATATTAAACGTCAAACCAAAAAGGCTGATCTAGACTTCCTCAATTGACGGAGTTCCATCGTGTTAGGTACCTACATTGCCGAGACCTCCGATTGAGCCCGACTAATTAATTCGCTTTCGGTTCGGCTTTTTCGTCATTCGCGGAAGGTAATCGTTGGAAATCTTCTTCATGGGTCATGAAGGCATCGTCGTTGAGATTGCGATATCTCCAATGAAAGATGACAGTCTGGACGAAGAGCGCAATCGCAGGCGCGGCCCAGGCCCATACGAGCGTTGGATCGACAATAGCAGGGATCAAAATCTCGCCCAACGCACTGCTCAATGCCGTCATAAACAGGAAGAGAGCCAAGATAGTGGCTTTCATGTGTTCGGGGGCGCGCGCATATGCCAGTTCGTACGAGGTGACATTGACGAAGATTTCTGATATAGCGCCGAGTGCAACATTGGGGATCTGCCACCAGATCGAGATAGGCGAAACATCATCGCAAGTACTAGCGTAATAACCGCTGTTTGAAAATGGTGAGTAATTATTATCTTCTAGCAGGAAAATATAGGTTGAGCCACTCACCAAGGACTAGTCTCGTATACGCGGTATTGGACGATGGCACCAATTACACCGGAGAGGATAGCAAGGCTAAAGCCGAAAGTCATTCGACTTATGCGTCCAAATTTAATTTTCTTTCGCTCGAGAAACGGATAAACGACCTGGGCCATTAATGGCGAGAACACGATGATTACTAGAGTAAGTAATAATGATTAGTAACAGGAAGGTACTCAGGTACCTGAGAATAAGGGGCTCAGGGGTAAATAAGCTTAGTAAGCTCAATGATATCGATCTTACTCGTAGCAAATGCAACAATTGATAGAGAGGAAACCTTGAATTGACATACCTAGAGGATTGAAATTATTTAGTAAGTCGTTTGGAGCTCCATTAGAAGTCATAGCGGCTCCTTGGTTGCTTGCTACGGCGCCGACACCGCCATCGTTCAAGATCCAAATGGGGACGTAAAGGAAGATCGAGACAGCTTGCCAAGAGCGTCGCGCATCATCCACGTCCTTTTCTGAATAGCTGACATGCGTTCCTTGTTCCGCTAAAATAGATGGCTGTACGTTGTGCCATAGATTTTTCGAGAAGAGATTGCCCTTGCTCTTCTTCAACGCCAATACTGTGATCTTGATAAACTTGGTTAAGTCTGAACCGTTAGGTGGCTTCCTAATCGTGCGCTTATACATGACTGCAAGTAATATAGGAAGTAAAAAGTACACAATTCCCGGTAGTAAAAATGCTAACCAAAAGCTGTGGTATTTCTCAACGTATACGATGGCAATAGAGAAGAATGCACCGATATTGACAAAGGCGTAGAAGATGAGCATGATATGGCTGACGGTCGTTTCTGGGTCAACAAGCACTTTCTCTCCAGACTTTAGCACCTTGGTGTACTCGCGCTGGTGCTTGTACTGGTCAATTATGGTGGGTGCTACATTCGGCTTGAAAATTCCAGCACCTATAGCCAGAAGGAAAAAGCTTCAGGTAATATGTCATTAGCTTTTACTTACATATGATACGTTTTCGCTCTCGGTTTGAAAAGAACTAGTAACTTACCTAATCATAAAGGGTGCGACTCCTTTTCCAGCCTGCAGCAGAGCCGGTGCAGCACCGCCTACCATGATGACATGGGCAACACCTCCGAGGAGCACACCCCAAACGATAGTCTTATATCGGCCAAGATAAGTATCTGCGATCCAGGCCCCAAAGATGGGAACGATATAGGCTAGAAAGGTAAACAAAAGACCTAATGCAGATGCCGTTTGAAGACCAAGGTTGAGTGCGCCGGCGTGCGAGTTTGGCTTGCTTCGATCGATAGCTCCTGTTCCAGGGCCACCTTCAGGAAGAGGGAACTGCATGTAGTTGTTGAAGACAGCTTTGACGCCATAGTAAGAAGCTCGTTCCGCCAATTCCACAAAGCAAAGGGACCATGCCGTCAGAGGGATCGAGTCGAAAACTTTCCGCAATGTTTTTCGCTCCTCGTCAGTCGGAGGCGGGTAGGCTTCGTCGTCGATGCCGGAACTGGCTTCTTCCAGGGACGCGGGCTGCGACTTGACTTCGGGAGTAACAGGGGCTTTCACCGCGTGAACACCCTGGTCCGCGCCAGGCTCCGCGACCTTCTGGACATTGAGACCAACAACGTTTTCGGCTACAAAACATATTAGTTACACCTCTTAATGAATTGAAACAATGTAAATACCCATTATAGGCAGATGCTATCTCCCCAAGATTCGTAATGTAAGTTGCCAGACTGGCTAGAACTATACAGGCGCGCAGAGGCCCAGCTGAGGGACCCCCACGACCTTAATATACATACGAATTCCTGCGGAGGGGTGATTCCATACCTGTATCACTCGACGCTGATTGGTAAAGATAGCGTAAAGTGCATCGGGTAAAAATGAATTGACTGCATAGAAAGATTCAGGGTTGCGCATGAGATTGACCAAGATGGGAAGGTTACAATTTCACAACCTTGACGCAACACCAACAGTACGTGGCGTGCTCGCGGGAAAAAAAACTCAAATAATAGATAGCGTCTTTCGACAAGCAAACCGGGAACTATCATAACAAGCTTCTAGATCTCGACGCATTCCAGGATCCTTCCCAGTCAAGCATCTGGCGCATACATGGCCGTAGTAGCTGACCGAATCCTTGGGTCATCTAGCAGTAGCTTCCAATGTCGCAAGGTTACATCGGCGGCAGGACGAAGTGGACCATAAGGGAACAGCTTCTTTGAGTTCATGATTCTGCCATTCTCGATAGATATTGCTGGATTTTCCGGGGTTCCGCTCGTACGTACGAAGTACGCTAGAGCTAAGACATCGAAACAGGGGGTAGAACATGCTAAGCGAGTGCACCCAGGTAAGCAAGCCATGTACGAGCTATTCACATCTCGACCTCCTCAACCCCTCAAGCGTTTCTCAGTCGTCTATCCGCTTTCATTTGGTGAAACCGGATATGGCAAACAGTCGGTTGGAGTGCCTCCCGAGGTTGGCGTGAACTCGTTAAACCAAAGAACCTAGAAAAGGCATAATATTCGAGTTAAGCTTAGAAGAAGTTAGATTGGGCTAGACAATATGATAACAAGATGTAATAGGGTGAAGTTGAATTTGCGCACGAGTTGCGATTACTAGGTAAGGAAAAAAGGGCCGAGGGAGGGTGGACGAGAAAAGCAACAATTGGTTCAAGACCCTTGGTTACACGATAATAATGTTTGAGGTCCAGAGACCAATTGATCTCATCCTATCCGGCAAGGTTACACAGCTCCTAAATCCTTCCGCGAGCGACTATTTGGTTGCAAGTAGCACGTGCTCCAATACGAACCATACCCGTCAAGGTCCTGAGGGCGTTACACCTAGATACGCCTAGCGATGTAAGGAAGCAAGTGGACATTTATCAAACTTATCACAATACCTCTTAGTCTGCGGGGTATAGAGAAGTAAGTAATTACTAGAAGAAAAACGCGTGATAAATTAAATTTCTATCATACAATTCAGAAACCTATAGGTAAGCTTCTTCAGGTATGTCATAGAGACTGACCATCTCGTAATCCAATATCTCGCGACAGCCACAGTGGTCGATGAAGGTCTTCCAGTTTCCGCTTTTCCGCCACATTTTACGAGTCCACCCACTGCGTTCGCGGATGATCTCTTCGACATCCCACGAGGGCCCAAGATCGAAGTCGCAGCGTATCTGACCCGTCTCACTGCCCTGGTTCTCAACCATCTCCCGGATCGCATCAGCAACTCCTCTGTGGAAGTAGCTGCCTTTAGCACCCGGCTCAAGGGGCTCTAGCTGTGGATATTCCCTCATGGGATGGGGAGCTCTGAACATGCCGCGGGCGCAGGCTACTTCGAGGGCGTGCCGGGAGCGCGCGTCGGGAATCACTGTATGTTCGAATATCCACTCGGCAAACATGCGAACCGGCCTCCCTGAGAACACCAGGGAGATGGCGGGAGGCAAAGCTAAGGCTTCACTGATCCAGAGACTTATGGCACTTGTAGGGTCGGTTGGACTCCGAAGTGGGTCGCTAATATCGCTAGATCGTGGACCTGCAGGCCTTGAGAACACGGTCGGGAAGAGATCAACTCGACGCTCGATGCGGAGATAAGGGTTTTCTTCGCAGAACTCAATAAGTCCCCTTCCGTGGCACTCGGGAAATGCAACCGAGACGTAGCTTTCGTCCAGGATGATCTTTCGCTATTAAATTGTCAGCTTATATTTCGGTAAACGCCCTAGGCCCTCTGGGATGAGCCCCTTAGGCCTCAAGAGTCGGGCAAGATACTGACCATGTGACGTCGAATAGACGGATGCCGGCGAAGAAACTCGATAGCATACGCGGCTGCCGAGAATCGATAATTCCACCGTTGATCGTCTGATGGAACTTCCCAATACTCCTTAGTTCGAGACGATTCTTCCGGGAATCTATTACGATACTTCTTTTCTAAATCAGAGGCTAGCTTATCAAGTTCAGATGCGGGAAGTATGGCCCAAGGGAAGTCGCGACAGTAATCGTTAGGGTGTGGGCCCAAGATATCCCACAGGTAGCTGCGGAACAGCGACGGTCTCTCGCCGAGCTGGTTGAAGATCTTTTCTCTGTCGTCGTCGTTGTCCTTGGCGGGAATAGGAGGATGTGGCCCTCTCAGCCAGTCTAAATGTGGCAAGAAGCACGGGTAATCACGAGCTATACGTTCCCTCATATCATCATCGATTGTCTCCCTCTTGTACCACGCCATCATTATCTGGAGATCAAATGCCGTCATCGGGCCAGTGCACATAAGTCTTTGCCAGCGGCTCGCCTGTACGCTCTCCCACCAAGACCACAGGGCAGAGAATGTGATAGTATTGTGACGAAGGGCGAGGCCTTGCATTTCTTCATGTATGAATTTGCATGTACCCTGGAGCGCAAACTGGTGTTTGGGCCTACCGGCACCCGTGAGTTTCCAGCCCGGTGAATCAAGTACATAGCCGCCGTCAATATACACATATTCTGTGTATATCATGTGTCTGAGCTCAGGGGGAAGACTGAGGAATCGAAAGGATGACGACATTGTGAGATCTACCATAGAGAAAATAACGATCAATTGATTTGCACTGCATCAATGCCAAATTAGGGACGAAGACGGGGGTATAAGTACCCTAGATGTCACAAATCAATGAAAGGGGGGCAATGATGGTGGAATATTTGGTGGCGGCAAGCCTGCGCCGCGTATTTTAAGGGTTTGTTTACTACCTATTGGCTTCTATCAATTCCTAGCAACTTAACGTTCTAACGTAGCTGCTATGACACTTAACCCACGTCTATTTCATCAAATAAGCCCATTGAGCAAAGTTTACGTTATAATTCATGATAATTAATGTCTCTAATCATAATGAGGCGTTATACTATCCACTAGACGTAAAGGCCAATACGCCTCTACTACTAGAGGCATACGGCATGGCGACGGCCCATTCACGCCCATTTTCCCAATAAGCACATGAGTACCAGGCCTCCTATCAGCCCGAAGCCCGCGAGACTGGTCTCTGCAAAGCTTGCATTTGCTAACTCGCCAAACATCCAATCCCCCGCCCACATCTCTACCACGCCAACCCAGATGAGTATGCCTGCAGACAACGCGTCGAGCGTGCCAAGAGCGATCAACGTGCTAGGGTCGTTTCCATTGAATTGCCTCAGCACGCCGATACCGATTGCCATACCAATCGGGGTAATCAAAGCAAAAGGAACTGCCATGAGCAGTTTCTTAGGCATAGAAAGCGATTTCCAGTTCTTGTTCTCTTCTACTGAGTCCGGAGTGCTCGTGGGTTTCGGCCCTCGATCAGATAGGAATTCGGTTATAACTGGTGGAGTGTGGTCGGCGTTTCGCGTTTCGTCTCTAATGTGGTGGCCAACAGAGGCGATACGAGTTCCAAGAGCAATACCTTCGAACATCTGGTGGAAGAGGATGACCACAAAGAGCGTAATGAAGAAGCTATCCCCTGAAACCACTAGAGTCACACCGATTACTAAGACTACAGGTTAGATCAAGTTATAGATAGTAGGTAGGTAGCTACGAGATTTGACTTACGGAGAGAATGGAATATGATACCAGCCTCTAGTACCGCAACACCGACTACTTCATCGTTATACCGACTTCTTGTCCAGAATTTTCGGGCTAGACGATGACTGATAGTCTCTACCGTGAATGCAAGGAACAAACCTGCCATAACAATTGCGGCCGTCGTTCCTTCATACTGAAGTTCGCCAATACATTCATTGCTGAACATCAATTGTGCGTGGGTAAGGAGCTAGACAAAGGGTATCAGTAACTAATAGATTTGTGGCTGGTACCAGTTGAAAGCTTACGTGAACAAATGCTGTTGCTATGACGACTCCAGTGCCGAATTGCTTTAGAACTATAAAGACTGTTTGGAACTTCCGTGGTAAAACGGGCTTCAGAAAGATTGGCCCGGCAACCCCTGAAATCAACTATGAGATCACCGTGCTCCGGGAACCAATTAGATAATAATCGTTCAATGCTCACCGATGAAACTTGTTACGAGAATAACGAAAAGAAGGCCAATTCTGAGGGGCACATTGTATTCGCGATCACGTCGCGAGCACTTTTCCTCAATACTTTGGCTCTGTTCGTTTTCAGTATCGGTACAATGTCTGTTATAAATTGTTAGAAAGAGATTATGAGGATAGCAGATTAGGTAGATAGGTAGTTTCCTACTCGACGCCGGCATGAAAGTGACAATTTTGGCCTCCGCTTCCATTATTGGTACTTCCTTCCTCTGAATCAACCCCAGTCGAACTTCCACTGTTAAACCCGATGACTTGGACATCAGAGCCGTCTGGCGCAACACAAAAGCTAGCAAATTAGTCTCCCCTAATGGATATAATGGAGCTCGTCGACTTACTACTCATCATCATGTCCATGACAGCCAGTATAACTGGGTGGAATTTCGGCTGTTGTCGTTGTGGGTACCACTACCTGAAGCTCCGTTGTGCCATGGAGACAGAAGCTAGCAATTGTCAGCATAGAACATGAGCCTTGTCAAACTAACTGTTATCTTACACTGAAGCTTCATGTTGATGGCAGTCGGACACGGCGGTGAAAGTCTCAGTCGCTCGAGGGAGTATAGCATACGAATGGCCCGTAACCATTGGAGCTTGTTGCCTATGTCTCGGAGAAACATGCGATGCCATAACATAAAGTATTATATGGGATGAAGAAAAGAGTACGAACGACGCTGCGGCTAATCGATTCGGCAGGTAAAACATTTTGACCGAGTCCAATCCAATGCAACTTCCGGATAAATTCACTTGTGAAGTAGATTTTAGGTATTAAAGTCGTAACTACCCTTTCGATGAAGTTGTCGAGGAAGCACCTAACATCATAAACAGAGCCGCATAATACAGTTTAAGACCGACAACCTGCCTATAGCAAGTGATTTTATGTACCACAAAACCGTTTCTGGCCATCAGGGTGTTTCCATTAATCCCATCCTTGGAAGGTCGTACTTGGCACCACACTCGGCGTTCTCACGATGGGTGCTCTAAGTACCCCCTATTCCCCACATCGGCGCCCTTGGCTATTCCTCAATTTCTAGGCAGATATAATGTCGCTTCCAAAAGAGTCTCAATTGGACGATGATGAATTCTTAGTTATATGTTGTTATGTAAAGAATATCTTGGACAAAGACCCTGAAGGGCATCGCAAAGATTTATAGTAATATAGTATTATTAAACCGTATCTCGAAAGATCATGTGTGCTAGTCAAAGGGGGAACATGCACAAGAATGACCACACATATTATGTGGGATGACGAAAATGCAACTATATGAATATGTGAATGATACACGCAACTATTGCTGTTTGCAACGGAATGGTGCATTACAATATGCGACCACTATGCGTATATTGCTTCGATGTCACTATATGCACGACTCAAAATCATACGCCAAATCGGATACAGGTCGCAGTTATCGGCAACACTATCTGACTCCAGGCGTTTATATTGCCCTGCCACTCTATATACACTGAGTATTTGATAGATCATGGAAATACATGGCACCTAGAGTCCCATTCCCGCAGCTACGACTAACCCCCCTATCATTGCGGCATTGCCAATTCCTAGTTTCTCAACACCGGCGGTTGCCGTTGACTGGACGGCCGACGTACTACTAGTGACTACAGCTCCATCACAATGCCAGTGATCACCATGAGGCTCGCAGCCAACTGACTCCGTAGGACTAGGCGCCAGACTTCCAGTTCCTTCTTCATGTTCTTCGCTAGTTGATGAGCTGATAGGAGACGTGGTGGTAGAGCTTGACCCTAGACTCTGGGTAGAGGCGGTCACAGAGACAGTGCTTGAAGCTGGTCCATCGCAATGCCTAATCGGAATTAGTTTAGTAAAAGACTTGCTCGATAATAAAACTCCAAGTGGCCTCACCAGTGATCTTCGTGAGCGTGGCATCCGACAGATGCGGTTGGGGATGGAGGCAAGGTTTGCGCTACTGCCCACGGGGCGGTCAGGAGAGCAGCAAACAATACACTACAGTTCCGCATTGTTCGAAATATGCGAAATAACTGTACGGAAATATGTGGTATAGTAGTTAGGTATTTAGGTAGGTAGCTGTTGAAACACGAAATTGAACAGTCCAGATGTGCGCACTTCGACCGATTGACTGTCTAAACAGGTCAAAAGCTACTTTTTAAACTAGTAAAATCTCAACGAGGTGCGAAGGCCGTTCTCCCGTCTGGCCAACATGGAGCCGTGTAAACTTACCCCCGACTAACGGAGTGGACTAAAGGGGCTACGGACTCGGGTACCTATTAGGCTGACCGAAGGCCACATGCACTTTCCGCCAAGTCGGCAGCGTGGATAGTCGCGGCCTTGGAATTCGCCCATTTTATTCATAAATATTTGTTCATCCTTGGATTCGAAGTTGAGATCTCGTAATATTCGGGAGACGGCATGAAAAAAGCACCTTGATGGCGGTTTTAACGGACTATATATCTTGGCCTGAACTCCAAGACAGATATGTGGAATCCTACGTCATCTTGGCATGAGGAGTCAGCCTGGTCTTCGGCGATGCCAAGTTGTCGAAATTTTCAATTCTGTCTTCAAGATGAGTTAGTATCCGGTTCACTATTAATGGCGCTACAAAATTAGATGATAAAAGTTTGCAAGGAAAACATCAGCGTCCAACAAGGTCGAAATGATTTTTCTAGCTGGAAAATGATGATGCATTCCCGGAAGAGAGGTTTATATAACTGGGCCGATATACCTCTATAGAGTGGTTGAGGTTTGGTTGAATCAGGGTACCGGTTCTGCAAGGAGGTTTCGACGGCCTATCTCTTCTTTGATAACTTTCCTAGGGTCAATCAAATCAGTTTCTCAAAATGAGATATCTACTTGTAAAAGCTCTTCTGACTTGCCTTGGCGTCAACTCCGGCTCTGGCTTTGCGGCTAGATTGCCTGTGAGGCAAGATGCGGTAACCGTCATCCAAACAATGACACTCCCAACCCCAGAACCTACAACTTACAACTGGGCCGCCGGAGCGACAGAGCAGTATCCGATTCACAGCTCCTGCAACGCCACGGAGCGCGCGCTCCTATCCAGGGGTCTCGGTGATGCCATTAAGCTTGCCGACCATGCGAAGAAGCATATACTCCGCTTCGGTAACAACTCAGACTTCTATACTAAGTACTTCGGTACGGCACCGACGGCGGAGGTTATCGGATGGTTTGATAAGATAGTCAGCGCTGACCGCGGCGGAATCTGGTTCCGCTGCGATGACATTGACGGCAACTGTCATCAAGAAGGTAGAAGAAATCAGCATCCCCATTGATATACCATGGTAGAAGCTAACAACAGCCCTTACTAGGCTGGGGAGGGCATTGGCGCGGAGAGAACGCCACCCAGGAAACAGTCATCTGCCCTCTTTCCTACACAACTCGGATGCCTCTCGAGGGGCTCTGTGGCTACGGATATTCCGTTGCGACAGGGCAGCTCAACTTCTATTTCGGATCCGACTTGATCCACCGTTTGTACCACCTCCCGGCCATCGGCGAGGGCGTCGTCGAACATTACGCCGATACCTATAATGAATGTCTTGAGTTAGCGGTCCATAACCCGGCAGAAGCAGTGCGCAACTCGCACACCTTGCAGTACTTCGCGCTGGATGTTTACGCATTTGATGTTGCAGTTCCCGGAGAGGGTTGTACGGGGCGGACTCCCGAGTCAGAGTCGTCTACTACTCAGTCCGCGACGAGTACGTCTACTCCAGGGCCATCCTCGACTAGCACAGCAGCCACGGTACGTAAATTCAAGTATCATATAGGTAAATAGGAGCCATGAACACTAATCGTAAAAACAGGAATGTCATACGCACGCCGATGGCACTGAGCACTGTACATAGTTCTCGAAAGTACTGGCAAGGCTACCAATTCAGTCTAGGACAGGCATATGTCTCCTTGTAGATTTAAAATGAGCTTCTAGGAGTACGGTTAACTTTCCTTCTGGAAGTTTGAAATGAGCAAGTCGCGAGGATTATGCCGTACCTAGAGAATTGAACGGATTTGATCTGTCGTAATCCTATTTCCGGTACGAATTTAAATTATAACGGTATTATCCTCAATAATCGGTGATAAAATGCCCTCGTGAAACCATTAAAAGATCTTTCTGGAGAGAGCAATATTCCCGCGATAGGGAGAAGTCTCTATTTGTAAGCGCACCCAACGAGCAGGCAGGCAAGTGTCTATCCCGAAACTAACCCGGAATATTCACGAAGCTCGTCGGTCGTATAAGCTTTGTTATCACAAGAGTATCATCATGCAAACACCGTGTAGTTAAGAATTACCCCTTTGTAAGAAGATCGCCAGATAGGAGTAAGTGACCCACTTATTTTCTCCGGGTGAGAACGGCGCCCAATTTATAAGCTAACAACCTCACATCGCGTTGGTGGATTTTAATATTAGCATATGGGTTAGGTAACTCTCGCGCTTTACTAAAAGCCGGGTCTCTTCGTGGTTAAGACAGACACGCAATTCCGGGAGCTCCGCCGGATTTTAACCAAATGGGGAAACCCACTACCCCCGAATGCGATCAAGTGGAGAAACCTTGGCGTTTAAGTCCGCGCTTCTCCGTGACCTTCCACCACTCAGTAGTATGCGCGGACGAGATGGGTAGGAAAGGGGAAATGGAGATGTCATGGAATGGCACCTGTGATAGATGTCTATGACTTCTCATGTCGTGTATAAATTCAAGCTTGTTCCTCTTGTGTTACCTCTTCTCTCGACACAGCATCAACCACCCAATACCATAGACTATCAAGACTAGCACCAAACCAAACTCATATATCGACCCATCTTTACTACATCATTCCATTCCAAACATTATGTCATCAAGCAACTACATCAAGAAGGTTGCCATCGTCGGTGTAAGTGAACCCAAATCCTCTCTCGTCTCCCACCCCGTTTTCAAACCGGGCTCCCGCTAACCCCTCAGAAGGCAACCGGCACAGTTGGAAAGTTCATCGTGGAAGAACTTCTGAAGCTGGGCAAGCATGAAGTGACCGCGATCACGCGCAAGGACAGCCCGGCCGCCAGCTCCATCCCCGCGGGCGTGAAGGTCGCCGCCGTGGACTACAGCGACGAGTCGAGCCTCGTCGACGCCCTGAAGGGCCAGGATGCGCTGATCATCACCATGAACGTGCAGGCGCCGCCAGAGACGCAGCTGCAGCTGATCCGCGCCGCCGCGGCCGCCAACGTGCCTTACGTCCTGCCGAACGAGTGGGGGTGCGACATGGCGGACGAGCAGTTCGGCAAGGAGATCTTCCTGGGCGGCTCCGAAGTTCCCGCTCGGAAGCTGGTCGAAGAGCTGGGCAAGAGCTCGTGGATCGCCGTGGTTTCCGGCTTTTGGTACGAGTACTCGTTGGGCATGGGCGAGCAATGCTACGGTATGGACGTGAAGAACAAGACGTGGACCTTCTTCGACGATGGCGAGACCAAGATGAACACTACCGTGAGTATAGTGGACTATCCAAGGTTTGTTAGGACCTTCCAGTCGTACTGACTATTTGGAATCGCAGACTTGGCCACAATCGGGACGAGCCGCAGCTAAACTACTCTCATTACCTATCGAACCAGAGACGCCAGGAGGTCCGAGCCTATCCAGCTTCAAAAACAAGTTCGTATACGTGTCCTCGTTCCTTCTTAGCCAAAAAGACATGTTCGAATCAGTTCTCCGTGTCACGGGAACCAAGGAGTCGGACTGGACGATCAAGTATGAGGATAGCGTCAAGCGTTATGAAGAAGCCAAAAAGAGGGCACTTTCCGGAGACATGACAGCTTTCCCTAAGCTCCTATACAGCAGAGCTTTCTACAAGGACGGCGTTGGCAACTTCGAGGCTCGACGTGGAGGTCTTGCCAATGACATTTTAGGTCTACCAAAAGAGGACCTAGATGAGGCAACCAAGATCGGCGTTTACCGTGACGAGAACGGTCTCAGATACAAACACGTAGACGCCGCGAAGTAGCTCAATGTAAATAGTGCACTAGATTAGGTACTATAAGGAAGAAATTCTCCATTTAAAATGTATTTTTGCTGTTGCCATTTGTGAGCTTAGAGTTAGGTTCTGTTTTTATCAAACTATTCCAGGACTTGCTCGACCAAAAAGCAGTCCTGATGATGGGCTCATGGGCATGTACCTGGTCAGAGCGTAATATATGCCACCGGCAATTATGCTCGGGTCGATAGGCATATGTGGCCATGAGACGAAAAAGGAACCAGCCACCGTAAAGATCATTACGCTCAGAAGACTAACGGCCATCCAAAGACACACCGTATGTGCCCAGAAGGTTTCTGTGCACTTGTCCAACGCTATGCTAAGAAGCAAGGGTAGAATTTCGGACAAAATGGACGTGACTGAAACGATGCCTAGATAAACATCTCGTCGTCCGGGCGTCAGTGAGGATCTAATACCGCTGAAAGCATCGGTTGGAGGTGTCATCTTTCCGGCGTCCCCATGATATAGTCGGATACGATGAAACAGTTTGTGGGGGCTAAGAAAGGCAACAGCTAAGCGGCAGAGTTAGCATGAAAGATGTAGGCTGGGAGGTTATTTATTGTAGCTTGTCCGTTGCACTCACCTTGAAAGAATATGTCCCAAATCAGCGAGATTATGACGCCGACAAAGGTAAAGATAAATCGCACAACACGCCATCTGCCCATCATGAATTGGACGTATCCTTGACCATCGCCCGTAATAGTATACACCAGTAGGCCAATCTCCACGGCGCATAGTAAAGCTAGGAACATAAGCCTTCCGGCCCACGTAAGGATGAAGAAAGGCATCGTGTTGCCCTTCGTTTGATGCCGCGAAACCTTGTCTTTCCGAGGTTTGCCAGCCTTCTTCAATGAATGGGCTTCATTTGGAATCAGGATGCTGTATTTGAGGTCTCCATTATCCTCCCAATAATTAAGAACGAATGATATTCCCTTGAAGGCTTTATTCAGTTGACAGTTTGAAATCTGACCATTCTTTTCACGTAGGCGTCTTTGTACTAGAGTCTTGATTTCGTTATTAGCGGCGAGGTGTACCATGCAGATTAAACTCCATGGATTCTCCTTGACTCCAGTGTTCCATTTGCGAAGTACGACAATAACTAACCCGACGAGGATAACCATAAATGCGAGAAGTGCTACAGCTATCTGTGCCCGTGCCGTGTAGACACCGAGCGCCATCGAGCAAGTTAATGTGTCTCCTTTCGTTGTCGCACAGTCTGGGTTTTCTAAAATTATTCCAATAGCTTCGGAACTCAAGGGAATCATGATGACGCTTCCTAACACTAATAGTCCTGTCAGAGTAAGGAGAGCCTGTCCATTGAGTAACGAGCGAACGCGTGCTTTCAGGCTCCAAGTGCTAGCGGTTGGGAAGCATAATGTATCACAGGCTTTCGCTCCTGGTTTAACACCTCGAGAAGACACAAGGGCATGGAATGGTTGATAGAGCTTCGCCGTGTGGTCAATAATTCGGATCGGAATTGACACCAGGATCGCGACGAAAGTGGGAAACATGAGGCCCAAGAAATATTTTCCGTTTGAGATCGGGATTAAGTGCAAGGTTTTATTTTCTTTCGAGCTTGGTGAGACCGTCAAGGTTGGTATTGTGACCAAGGTAGTAATTGTTGAGGACATTGGAACAAGTTCAGTTTCCGTCTCTGTTGCAACGCCGTTGCTATCGAAATGGGTTACGAGCGATACAGTTTCTTTAATTGAAGAAGTCCGGGTAGCCGTCGGGTGACCATTCTTATCTCTCAAGACTTGGGTGGTCATGCTGATATAATAATCAACCGTTTTCGTTGCTCTTCCTTGGTAATCCGTGAGGACCGTCCGAGAGGGCGGCCAGAGGAAAACTGAGCCCGAATGGGAAGACATTTGCGCAAGGATTGTCCGCGTCGTTGATTTACCATCGGCACCCGTATACACGGTGACTAAATTTGTCAAAGGATCCACGTGTTCTTTGACACCGTAATCTATAATGCTCACAAAAGTAGTTGCGATCAGAATTCCACTAAGATGCGACACCGAAGTTGTTATCGTTGTCGTAATAGGTGGAGGTGGTGGCCGCGCATCAGGAGGGACGGTAATTGTTGCGATAGGTTCTGGGATACTAGGTGGCACACTGGTGTAGATTGGATTGGTGGCCATGGCTATGTTAAATGTGGAAGACATGCTAGTGCTTTTCGAGGTGCTGGAAAATGACTGTTTCGCCGATATCAATGGTTCAGTCGGAGAACCCGGACGGGTAGAACTAGGCTCATTTTCTGGAAGACTAGTACTTGTACTCGAGGTTTCTATGATAGACGTGCTAGTGTGTGGATGCGTGGTGGCCTTGGGCGGATCTGTTGTTGTCCCGGAAGGGTCTACGGAACTTGAAAATGGAAGAGTCGTAGACGATGTGGTAGACGAATCCGGGCCGGATCCTCCGGGGAATGGTCGTGTAGGCAAATTTTCAGTAGGCAATGTTAAAATGGTCGATGATAGTGTAGGTGGGACCCACGTAGGTAGAGTCTCCGTAGGGAAAGTCTCCGTAGGGTCTGTTGGCGGAGGATCTGGGTGTGTGGGCCCTGGATTTGGAGGGTCTGGTAGTGATGTTGATGAAGGCGGGTCATTAGGACCCGTCGACCAGGTCGGAAGAGTGAAGGTGGCACTAGGTCCATTAGGGTCCCCCGTTGGGGTTGGTTCTTGATGCCCTGGGAGGGTTCCAACCATTGAGGTCGACTCTTGATGCCCTGGAAGGGTTCCAGTTATCGTGGTCGAGTCCTGTTGTCCTGGGAGAGTTCCGACTATCGAGGTCGACTCTTGATGCCCTGGGAAAGTTCGAACTGTCGACGATGGCTCTTGATGTCCTGGTAGAGATACAGGCAACGTGAAGGATGATGAAGGTGGAGAATCCGATGATGAAGTTTCCGCCGGCGGCGGAGGCGGCAGGTTATCTACCGGGGTAGGAGAATGTGGTGGCGGAGGAGGCGGTTCGGCTTGCGAGACAGTAGTGGGTGAAGCTAGGGGAGGTAAGGGTGGCGTTATACTAATTGGGGGCAGAGGGGGGTCTATAAGCGGCGTTGAACTACTAGACGATGATGAGGTCTCCGCAGATGAAGTTATGACTGGGACTGAGACCGTGGTTGAGGGCGCCGGTGCCTCGGTGGTATCTGTGCTGACATCCTCTCCTGGCAAGGACGTAATGGTTGATGACGTTGAGGTTGAAGATAATGGGCTTTCTGTGGTTATCCCATTTCCTGTAGTAGTAGATTCGGTAACAGGTACCGTTTCAGTTGACGATGTAACGCTTGTCGTCGTGTCTGGTGCCGGGTTATTGGGACTAGTATTGTTCTGACGTTTAAAGAGCTCCATCGGGCTATATAGACCAATTTTGCCAGTAAATGGAGACCGTGGACGGATTTCGATCGTGCTATTGGGCACTTGAGAAGGTGAAGCAGTACCGGAATCGCTAGGTAGAAGTTGAATTGCAAGCTCAGCTAATCCGACAAGAATTAAGAGTATCAGGAAGAGAATGAGTAAAAATCGTCTTCTCAGGACAGGCGGCCTATAGTTTGGAATATCAAAAGAAACTTCCCCTTCGATCTTCCCTTCCGAACCACGATAGCTCAAGTCGTTCGAGAGGTCGTCTACATAGAGTCCTTCACAAGATAAGGAAGAAGGGACAGGCTTAGCGCAAACCTCCAGCCCAACACTGGCCTTAATGCTGGGTGATGGCGAATGACGTACGACTTCAGGGCCATAATATCCATGATATTCGACAAAGTCTCCGAGATCCACTTCATCATAGTGCCGAATTGGTACATCCAGATAATCGCCGCCGACAAGCGTGGTGTCAGAAAAAGCAGGAGAGCTGTGAATGCTGCCTTGCAGACTCCTATGGTCGGGATCCTGTTCCTGTTCTAACGCGCTCCGTTGGAGCACTTGTCGGATTTGACTGCTAAATTCCTCACGAGTCACCTTCCGCTGCTGCTGATCACCATTGCCATCCTCATCTGGAGTGTCGATTTGCGGAATAGGGGCAAAACCACCGTTGCCAATGCCCCTCCACCCGGTCGGCGTATGCTGCATCGTCGGAAACTAGGCGTCGCCGCTAAGCGGTCACACATCTGTTACCTAGTCCGGCATGGTCCTAGTGATAGCTAGGCACTAAGTATGGCTGTATTTCGATCGAGTGTTTCGCCGCAGACCCGAAAAGTAGTAACGAAACGAGTATTATAGATCCCAGTAGCCAAAAGAAATTTTAAACAATCTCACATCTCGTAAGCCCCGGCCGAGTAATCGGCGGACTGGTCCAGAACGATGAGCTTCGAGGAAGAGTTATTGTCATCCTATAATTACCCCTCAATGTAGGGTCGTACAAATAGATAGATGCAGTTTTTATCCCACACCTATTCCTAAGGCGCAGCCTTTTCTCAAAGGAGGCGTGTTGGTGATATAGCTGAGCTATGTGAATGGTTTAGCGCCCGCGTCAGCATATGGAGGATCCAATAAGGGACGTTGTATACCCATCCAGCCTACCTTGACGGCCCCCAACATGCATATATAATATAGCGACTTTACCCAGTCTGGTGACGATAGCATTCACACAATGCATCTTGAGGTAACATCCACCTCGGCTTTTCAGATACGTACGAACCTCTTAGCGTTCATATGTGACACCGCCCTCGATCAATCGTCTGATCTCGATCCTGGGTAATAGATTCTCGTTGAAGCGCCAAGGAGCGGTTGAGATTTTCTATTGATAGTTTTCGAGGAACATGCATGATTGCTACGCTGTTGTTTATGTCGTTCCTGTGAATTGCTTCGGACCAGTTGGAGATGAAGTGGCTGTGACCACGGACTTCGCGATCGCGATGTGCTATAATTAATTTAGACACAGGGTCCATTGTCGGTCTGTGAATGATCGCTTGGGGCTTCGGTTGGATGCGAGTTCGGATTCCGAGCTTCGCAGCTTTCCGATGGAAGAGGAGAGAGTCGCAAAAAGAATTGCGAATGATGGTTGCTTGGGTACCTCTTCTCGCTAATCCAACCCGCTGCGACTTCTCTTCAATGTTAGGGAGATCGTGACGGTAGTGGCTTGTGTTGTGGCGTCGCTCATCCCAATTGGCCCGGTACATAATTCATAAAATTTTAGAAGGTAGGCACTCCCCGATTGTTACTCCCTGTCATCGGATAATGTTCTATCCAACGCGCGTAATCGTTCGGAATAAGTTTTGGAGTCGCGATTGTTCCGGGGAAGGTTCATGGTGTCTCGAGCAATATATACCGTCTTCTAACAATATAACATCATAAGAAACCAGGACCTATTTCTCAATGAAGGAGCCAATTGTTGTTTCGACGGGCATCCGTTACGGCATTAAGCGAGGCGACTTCATCTAACATTCTTTTGCGCACCGTCCTTTCCACTCCGATGCTCTGCAAGCGGCCGATGGATGGAACTCCGCGTGCTGATTGGATTGTTGCAAGTGCCTCAGCACCCGCGTCCGACTTAATCTTGCGTAGAAAGCCCCAATATCCATCACCCGAAAGTCCAAGCCGTTCCAAACTGACAATCAATGTATGATAGAAAAAGAAGACTCATACTATTGGATCAGTTTGCGCTCCTCATAGACGTCTAGCGATGACGGTGATATTGAAGGTACGCGCGGTAACGTAAAGCATAGGCACCTACTTATTTGACGAAGAGGGGTTAGTATGAGTATGTGGATCAGAATTTTTACATGGTGGCCCCTTTACTTTCACTTCGGTCCCAGAAATCGTAGCCATTGATCTTTCAACAGGGTGGTTAATTGTCGCATTAACTAGAAGTACATTCAGTAGGAAACCCGGCTTTCAGTCGCTTTACCAAGGTCAACTCTTTCCAGTGTGCAAACATTTGCTCACGTTTCAACCTATGCGATGTATGGATCTCATGGTCGAACGAAAGGCTCGAGAACATTTTGGGAATGTCCAAGTGCCATTTTAATCGACCGTCGACCCTGATTTCTATGTCGCCAACGTTTTCGTATATGATTTTGCCATACTTGATGGTCGATACGCCAAGATTGAGTACTCGGAGGAGCAGCGCTCTCACAAAATGAGCCAGGTACTCCGCAGCAAGGAGACTCTCACCCTCATCCTGGCCGAGTGTCCAATCATTCTCAAGGTCCGGAGGCGCCGCCATATCTTCGACTTCCTTAAAGTATTGTATGAAGGACGCGAAAGGTAGGATGCCCTTTTCACTAGCCGGCAAGAAATCTAGGATGAGATTTTGAACTGTGAAACCTCCGCTATCACTGTCTCTATCCGAAACTACTGGGCCATTTCGAAGGAACCCCGCCAGCAGGTGATAGAATAACCAAACGATTGGTGGAGGTCCCGGTTTGTCCGAGCAGTATGGGTCGCCCATTGCATGCGGTTGCAAGTGCTCGGGAACGTCGAAGATCCGAAATTGTGCATACACATTCCCTAGTGACCGCTGAAGTTTCGGTACCGACAACCAAGTCGGCCATAGCGTCCCGTCTTTCAGAAACGCAATGTCGATGGCATAGTTTGGCGGTCTATTCATCCGCCGTAGCGCATCTCGCGCCTCGCGATGAACTTGACGGTTAACTAGCAGTAACGGAAGCAATGGATTTCGGAATGATGGCCGCTCAAACCAAACGCGATCCCTAGCTAAGGGTGCTATAGAGTAGCTCTGTCGCTCACAAGTCCTACGACATTCCCGGCGGTAAGTTGATGGTTGTGGTTCCGAGCGCGCATCAAGGCAAACGAGGGTGAAGATATGGTCCCGCAGCTCTTGAGGGAGACTGAGCAACATCGTTGAATCGCGATGCTGTGGACAATTGAAGAGGATTTCATTAATTAGACCCTTTAAAAGCAAATCAATGTTTTCAAATCGACGTTAGATGATACACGTCTTATTAAGGGTGACTAGCGCAGCCTGTTCGTCCTTACCGGAATCATACTGGGCTATAAGTTAGGTACTATGTCGGCAGGCTCCCACAATAGAACCCGGTCGGCGCCAAGAACCATCTGCCAAAAAACACGGTTCGGCGCCGCAGAATGAGGCTCCCTACAAATATGTAAGTCAGAATAGATCATGTTGAGTAAGCTGGCAAGCAGCCGATTGAGTCGGACCCGATGCTTATCGATCGCATTGCAGATAGTAGTAATAATGGTGGTTATTGGCTCCCGAATACTTTCCTGGTGCCTAGAGTTGATCATTTAAGCGCATGCACGAAGTGCAGTGAGATGGTGAGATGTTCCATGTCAGCAATAGGCACAGTCGTAAATCCTAGGCAAAGCACATCCAACAATAATTAGTGGTACATGGATGTGGATGACCTCAGGTATTGCGGCCGGATTGTAGTGATTAAGATCATCGCTCCAATATTGAATGGTTATAGGATTAGTGAACATGTAGTTCTTCCAGCTAGTGATGGTACACTAGAAATCCCGCTATACGATTGCGGCAGCTTCGCGTCGATGCGATGAATACGATGCAGTAAAGGGCGGAAAAGCTAGCCCGCGTAATCGGTCGAGTTCGCATCCGGAAGTAAAAAAAGATGCTGCCTGGAGAGCATGATATCCTTGATGCGCACAGCCACTTATTCCCCTGGCACTGGATGGTCATTCAATGGGCCTCTCTTTACGACGATGATATTGATGACGCCAACATGTTCTCTTTCACCGAGGTAGTTTTCCTCGGACGAACGAGTCTGCTGGTTCAAACTTGGAATGGATTGAGTTGATGCAGGAAATGGATACTTACAAGTCTATTCGAGTTCCTCTTTTAATTGAATAATTATTGGATTATTATACCCCACCATAAGCACTACCTCGGAAGAACATTGCACCCGCAGCCCCTCCTATCCTTTTCCTTCAATCTTCGATGTTCAATATGTGGCTATCTGCAATTCAACTTCTTGGAGACGACTGCAACAGTCGCATTCTTAGCCAAGAATTCATCTATCCTACCGACATATAACGAATACTGAGGACATTTTCAGCAGCCACGCTGGCGGTCTGATACTAAATGTTACGGCAACGGTACGATCTCCCCCTGCATCTCCAAATTATCCCGCCGCATCACTTGAGGTTCTCACTTTCCAGCATGATGAACACTGTTTGGCCTGCTTTGGCTGATATACTACGATGACACACAAACATTAAATTATCACAGTCTGACTGGTTACATACCTATACACGTCCTCGTCATGATTGTTATGTGGATATCGACTTGGCTAACGTTAAGTGAAGGGAGATATACGACTAGCACCATCTATACTCAGAACCGATCCTATTCGTACGCTTATTAAACCCCGGTCGATGCATCCATAGTGCCCATCACCTTCGTAGAAGCTATCCGTTTCAAATATCAACACTATACTATATATGATGTGTCCACAAATTGTTTTCAGTGACTTGTTAAGACGATATTCGGGGGGATAGTGTGTTAAAAGGACTACTGTAGATATTGAGAGCACAGTTCTCAGACTAGGTAGATAGGTATGTATACAATCAATAATAAGGACATGAACAAACTTTCCAACAATTTAAATTAGCCAATGAATTATGAAACACGTCTATCAATAAAGAGCCAACTTGTAGTAACCTTATAACCATTCATTAACCTTCAGTGATGTGTAAATGCGAAGTCATCCTAAAATCTGCATTAAAGATAAGATAGTCCGATGGTTCGGAACCTTGATGGATCAATCACGACGCTAGGGCCACGAACGGAAGATATTTCATTGGGCAAAAGATCTCCCGCACGTTCCTTGAACTGTAGAACGAGCTATAACTAGCTCAATTTGGAGCCGACTTTTAACAGCCTCGAATACCTCGGTAATTTCGAGGATCATAGGCACAGTGGCGGAGTGGTCTAACGCGTGTGACTCGAATCTTCTCAATCTTGGGTTGATCACATCTCTTCGGAGGCGCCCGTTCGAATCGGGCCTGTGTCGTCTTTAACTTTTGCTTTTTTGTCTTCAGTTCTTTTTACATCTACCCATCTATCTTTTTCCTTTTGTCTCTTTCTTTTTTTATTTTTCTGTCAATTATAGCAACCCCACTTCACCTTCGAATCTTAACTTCTCCTTTTCAACTAATGATCCTCAAGGTTCTCATAATGCACTCAAAGAGCCTGTCGGTATCATAATTCGATTCATTATCTCGATTCGTACCTTGCTATATGAAAGCTGTGCTATACATCGGCGCTACCTATCACGTTGACATAAGGGCTGGCTGCTAATGTGTACGCCAAAATAGACATCCTACCAATGAACCCACACCCCCGGAGATTGATTGCCGAATAGACTCCTTCACTAGCAAATCCTACATATTTGTCTTGATATGCCGAAACCTGTCAGTATGTTGACAGGTGGAGGGGGAGAGATACGAGGAACTCGACTAAGGCGACTTTAGACATATTTAGCGACTCTTTGCTAAACAGGGCAATAAGGTAACTATACTTCCGACCTCACTATAGCAAACAATCATTTCGAGGACGGAGCTATTATAGCTTCTGATGGGTACATCAAAACGTACGGTATTAGCGGCCAATGTTTATTCGGGCCATTTAGGCTACGTTCATCGACGCGATGCGTTGCGCGATGCCCAGGGGGGATCAACTTGACTTGACTCTCACTGGGGGAAAAATCCAGCACGAACTGTGGGTATCGGCGGTGGTGTTTCTGCGGCAAAGCGACCTAAGTTTTAAGAACTTCCTAAATGATACCATACTCGGTCCTAATATCTATCTCGGGATGTTCCGATCGTCCTGAACTCCGGCGGTCCCTGAGACTAAAACGATCTAGTTTGAAGGGCGTACTACGTAACACATCGCGGATGAATATATGCGGGTGAAGTTCCCGGACAAGTGATCTCATGCGTCGCAAGGGGAAGATCGTGGTTTTATCAATGGAATTTATAGAATATAGAAGCAAGGGTGCTAGCGTGTTGCCCGTGCGGGCATTGATCTACGCCAGGGTAACGAGAAGGGGTCCCATAACCATTCTTAATACGTTAGGTGGTGAAAATCCGAGGGCTATGCTAGGACGTCGTTCGGTGTTAGTGCAGAGCGTGATACTTTTCTAGGGGTCGGGATGAGATTACTGCGCAGACATGAGCCTAGTCGCAGTAGAAGCCAAAGCTGTAAAAGCTTCCTTGTGAGGATCTGTTTCGACCTATCATGTATCTGGCCTCAGTGCACACCACTGTCTGATTCTTGTGTCATGTCTATTACCCAGGGTGAGACTATATGCGGGCGAATCGATCTTCTAGAATACTATTCGGGAGTTGCTCTCACGTTGTCGTATGAAGATACCAGTTTCTAATAGGCAGATCATGGTGAAATAAGCAAATGGCTTGATACTTGATCAAGGCAGGCACCTACATACTGCTAAATAGGCCTTGTTGTTGAGCCCGACATCGCGGATACCAAAAGGATCTTTTGGGCGGACCGTGCGGCCAAGATATCTCCGTTTCGAACTATTGAAGGAGCTAATGTCGTCATTCAGCTAAGTACCAACATATGTTACTATCCTAACCCATGGCGGCACCGATTCTCTACCTAGCCTCGAGGTTAGCGTCTGTGCTCCGCAGGAGCTGAAATACCTAGCCGTCCCGAAAGGCGCATCGGTAACTTGCCTACCAAGATCATGAGACATGCAAAATTCTCTATAACTCTGTGTTCATTGAGGCAATACGCATAAGTGGTTATAGTAAGGGTTCAACAATAAGGTGAAAGGGTATTGGTAGTAAATATTCCCCTTACTCCATCCAAGCAACCGTCCCCTAACGCCACCCACCACCATATATAATATACATAGGTACATAATCAGCAATTGACTCATAATGAGCCATTGCTAGATGCTTTAGAGTGTAGTGCGCGATCATCGAAGTTACGACTTAACGTTGCGTGCGAGCGACTATCCGTAGTAGAGACAGTAAACTGTGTAGTACGCATTATGCCCGTGCCAGTAAGAATTTCCTCGTCCGAGTCTCGTGATGATCGAACTTCGGTATGCACTCGCCTGCCGCTCATGTCCTTCAGCCCGATGCTGTTCTCTGGTCCATCTGTAGTTCTTATATAACCCTGTTGTGTGTGTGATGAGACGCCATATTTGTGCTTTCCGTAATAAGATTGGTTGTTAGTCGATTTGAGACGAGGAAGCCAGCGACGGACAAGTGGCCACAGCGCAGGGGCCGACGCAGTTAAGATCGCTAGGTTACACTCGATGGAAGATACACAGAAGCCGAGAGAGAAGTTCTTGTCAGGGCTCGTATCATTGAAATTCTGAGCAAGGAAATATAGACGGACGATGCTGACAACCGTAACACTTTAATAGAGATTGCATTAGCATTTGACTTTTGAACTTGGCGAAAAAATAGGGGTTTCTTACAGTATGCCGAGCATAAAGACGCCAATCAAGGCAACTTTTCTGTTCTTGTTTATCTGCAGTCCCAGGAAAATATAGAACGGAAGCGCAACAGAGACAATGTCGGTCATAATTGTCAAAGAAGCAGCCGCTACACCGAATTTGAATTGCTCGATGCAATGTCCTTTAATCAATGGATTCCAATTCATCTCGATGGGTATACATTGTAAAATAACGACGATGAATATCGCAACCATCAGAATAGTATTGAAGATGATAGTAGCCCAGACGACGTATCGGACCCCAGACTTGACACCCGAAAAACGGAGCAGGAAGACGAGGACGGACTGCTTGACTAATGTTAAGATGGGCTGGTAGACGGCGCCGACAACATAGATCCAGATCAATCCCTCCGTGGGATCAAAGGGCGGGACATCATAATAATGAATCCCTATGTAGAGTGATTTCATAACTATATCTCGTTAGATTAGGTACAGCATTGGTTTGCGTGAAATTACATCTCCATACCTTTAATTGAGCCTACTGCCAGAGCAATGCTCAAGGCCATTGCAGAAACGATCAGGCCATCATCTTGATTCGATTTGCGTCAGCGTTAACCCCATCTCTAATGGGTTATTATAACATACCCCAACCGAAGCTCTTCGTGTCGAGCCTGATATATGTCCTCAGGACGACGACTATAAATGCCAACGCAGGACATACCACTTCTATGGCGATACCTAAATTCTGAAGCCAGCTTGTTGGATTAGGGTTCGTGACTATTGTTGTAGAAGTCGACATGGTGACTGATCGTTAGAGCATCTGTGCAGAGCAGCTACTCAGATAAGCTCAAGATCGCAACGGGGATAAGTCGACTTAAGTGGTAGAGATCGTCGTCGAAAACTATGATGGGTCGTTTCGTTCATATATATTTCGACACTGGACTTACAACGGCTCATAGATCTAGGTAACGTCTGAGTAACCGGGCACCGCTGCAACATGACCAAGGGTAAATGAAGTCTTGATAACTTCTCCAACTCGTACATATCTGCTGAATTATCTACATGATATGCTCATTTTCGAACGGCTTAGCTGCATACCATGATCAGCGACAAGGAAAACCGAAGCGCAGATCCTTTCATGCCCTAACTACTACGTTCTACGGTAAAAAGCTTGCCATTACGTACATGGATTCCCCAGTCCCAATCCAAATCTAGGCCCTCCAGGACCGAAAACCAAAACTGGATATTATCCCAGGCTTGGCTGACTACGCGCCGCCGCCCGAAACTCGCGCGAACTAGAGTATTATACCATAGTATTAGGGGCATTGTATAACCCACGACTTTACTTTGCTTGTTGACTAAACTCATCAACGCCAAAAGTTCTTCCTAAGCGATGTCACATCGTCGGGCATTCGTAAAGAATTCTTATCTTCGCTCGGATCTTTTCCGTGTATGTTGGCGGCGTTACAAGCAGACAATTTGAATTTCCATACCAGGTAGGTGCGTAGTATATTCGGAGCTCCATAGGTTACGCTACATGTATAACAAGGATATATGCCCCTTAGTTCACTCTTAGTATAATGGTCCGTCAACGTCAGTTCGATCTATAACTACCCCGAAGTTTTTTAGACACTCTGAAGCCTCCTAGCGTATCGAGTTCATGCGGGCACGCTATGAAAATTTCTATCCTTATTTTGACATAACGCCGGCTCGTCACAAGTTAGATGTTGGTCCAGCTGAACGCACTCCATGTCCCTCCTCGTCTGCTTGTCCATGGTCAAGCTCGTCGTTTTAAACCCCGGATAATTTTTCTGTCTTGTTTTTATGGGCCCGTCGGATGCTTGTTTCCTACCAGGCGAGCATACCTACCTAGGTAGGTAGTAGACATGTGCAAACTGTCACATTCTACGCGGCCACCTACGTCTACTACCTTTGTATACTACATCGTAACTGATCATACACCACATTCCGTATTCAACTCGCGAAGATCAGCTCAGAAGACATAAGGCTAAGTATGTCGGTACGTAGATCACCACCAAATAGTGGATAGTATGCGTTTAGTGGGTACATTGGTGGTAACATATAATATGGGCCCTCCCCCGGCTTCTCTTTTGTAATACGCACGTTTATATCTAGAAAATAGACTTGCTTCATGAAGAAACCCGTAGCATGAAGTTAAAAACTTGTTTATAGCACTCGCTAACGTAAACACAAAACGGCTTTGAATACGTATCGAGGCTTAGTTTCTGTGAATCCACTGTGTTGGTGCTCGATTAAACACAACCCTGGCTGGCTAATACCGATTTCGACACAACAAGCGGGGGTAGATACCACGTTGGGGCATTGTAGTAGTCAGGGTAGCTTTTCACGGACGCGTACCTTGCGTAATTTATTACATGCGTCGTTACCGGACAACACCCACCCTTCCGTGTTCCGGAACAGATGATCGAACTCTTAAGAAGAAGCTGGCAGCCCCCTAGCTTGGGACCATGACAGTAGTGTCGGGTCAAACTAACGCAAAGTTGGTAGCGGGCTCTTCACCTGGCCTTTGTATCTAGACCCGGTAAGGTGTAGCTCGATGCAACACACCTCCTAGTTCACCTGTTGAGATTCTTTCTCGAACAACATGAGATTGCGGAGGACTGCTCTGTTATGTGTACAGAACTGCTAAGGCTTGCCGGCGCCCTTAGTAGCGTAAAACTTATGATAATACTGTCTTCTATATACACTTACACCTGGTCAACTCCTTATTGTTCCCCGAACTATTGATGTCTCCTGCATTAGCACGCGTGAACCCACGTGGTTCGCAAGGAATATCGGCGTTCTATCGGGTTCGTATAAAGTAATCGCGCTGCACGCAAGGCCGATCCTTTGGGGATTTCCATCGTAGTCTCTCAGCAGTGAAGCTTGTTCGAAGGCTGTTTACCCGGTGTCCAGTAGCCAGGCTTCCCTCCTTCTCTAACTTGCAGGAGCCTGCTACAGTACACCAATGGCGCGTCTCGCGTTCGTTGCGGCTCTTCCGCTAGCCAGCTTAGCGCTCGCTCAAACAATTCAGAACGGCACTGGTAAGCTAAACTTTTGATACATACACTGCATCATTGACACGCCATGGTGATTATGTGGCTCGCTAACCCTTGTCATGTCAACTAGAAGCCACTGAAGACAACGTCGCGCCAGCTGTTGAGACAGTGGACACAGACTCTGCATCGTCGGGCGTTGACTACTTCTCATATGAGTCGAGTCAGCTCACAACCGACGTTATCAGCAATTTGACAAACTACAATCTCAGTGACGTCGCACTCTTTAATTTCACTGACACTGAAGCTGAAACTACGGCTGCAAAACGCTCCGGCCGTATCTGCAAGGTCTATCCGGGAGACAAAAGCTGGCCGTCTCGTTCAATATGGAACCTTCTCAATATCCTGCTCGGCGGCGCCCTGATCGAGGGTGTGCCCGCTGCAGCACCATGCTACTCGAATTGGCCTCAATACAATGAGACTACCTGTGCATCAATCACTTCCCAATGGGAGACTCCTTCATACCAGTGGGCCATCTACCTTCACCCTCACATTAAATAGCTTCTAACCTTAGGTATCTAGACTATCGCAACCTCTAGGTATCCAATACTACATCTTTGAGGGAGTGAGCTGCCTACCACCCAGTCTTACACGTACAGGCGCCAACTGTACCCTTGGCGGCATGCCCTCGTATGTCGTCAATGCGACGAACGTGGCGCAGATCCAGCTTGCCGTCAATTTTGCGCGGAACCTCAACTTACGATTGATCGTTAAGAATAAGGGCCACGACTTTAAAGCTAAGTCCACCGGTAGCGGAGCTCTTTCTATTTGGACCAATGCCCTTCAAGGCATCCAGTACCTAGGATCCACCTACGCTCATCCGGCCTCGGGCTACAAGGGGCCGGCTTTCAAGATCGGCTCTGGTGTTGAGGCTTTGGCTCTCTATACCGCCGCTGACAACTTGAACCTTCACATCGTCGGCGGTAATACCCGAGTAAGTACTGTACCTCTCCTCAGTTATTATGTAAAATGGAGCTGCAGATAAAGTCTAACCTTGATACTTTGCTAGACCGTCGGTGTTGGTGGTGGATATATCGCCGGTGGTGGTCACTCCCCCTTACTATCCAAGTATGGCATGGCAGCCGACCAAGTCTTGTCTATGGAAGTTGTTCTACCTAATGGCCGATTTGTGTCTGTCGATGAGAAGAACAACCCTGATCTGTTCTTCGCTCTCCGTGGCGGCGGTGGCAGCACCTGGGGCATTGTGACCTCTCTCGTCATCCGCGCTTATCCGAAGACTCCTGTTTCTACCCTCACCTACAGCTTCGCCGTCAGTGACAATATCTCAACGGAGGTATTCTGGAATGGCGTCAATACGGTCTTTTCCAAATTTCCTCAGTATGCCGATGCGGGAATGTACAGCTATTTCTCCGTCGCCTGTCTCCCCACCTGTACCTTTTCCATGACTCCGCAGTGGGCGAACGACCTTGTCGCTACTGGACTCCAAAACCTATCGGCCCCCTTATTTAATGAGTTGGCCAGCCTTGGTATTACTATCACCGATGCCGTCTACACGGATTACACCGGCGTCCTCGGCGCCATCAACGGCACTTGGCCCGCCAGCACCGAGGCAGGTGGTGTATGGAATTTCAACACCGGGTCTAGACTATTCCCTCGGTCCAACTGGGAGAACTCGACACTGCTAGCCGCTCAAAATGCTGCTCTCCGAACATCCATCGAGGCGGCTGGCATGATGCTCGGATACAACATGAAAGCAGCCACGAATCCGACCGTCAACCAGTCCAACGCCGTGAACCCGGCGTGGCGCGAGACCCTCTTGCACGCCTTGCTAGGCGCTACTTGGTCCCAAGAAGCCACGCCCGCAGAGATCGCCGCGGCGAACAAGAACCTAGTCGAGACTATGCAGCCGTGGCGAGACGTCTCCCCTAACGCTGGCGCGTACCTCAACGAGGCCGACATCAACGAACCGAACTGGCAGCAGGCCTTCTACGGGTCTAACTACGACTACCTGTACGACTTGAAGCAGAAGTACGACCCGTGGGGCGTGATGTGGGCTCCCACCGCCGTCGGCTCCGAGGATTGGAACATGACCGGCCAAATCGCCTACTACCCGACACAGAACGGGAAGTTGTGTCCCGTATAATTCAGCGACGCTTCGTACCGGTACGGAATTTTTTAATGTAAATTATAATTAAAATGCCATAATCACATACATATTAGAAGATAAAGCTTTAAAGAAATAATAATTTGTATATACATAAGCTTCGCGTGTGTCTAAGTGCTTGGTCTCGTGTGATAATTTGTTCCCATGGGATCGACAATGAGTCAATTTTCATCCTGATTATTGTGAATTTGGTTGTTCAATGATTTCCATTCTTTGATCTATTCAAGGGGGTGGTGGAGATTTCGATGACCCCTATGTTTACATAACCAACCTTTTCACTTTCTAAGAACATATTATATCTTTAGGCAATCCAAACAGTTTATTGCTTCCATCTACGCTATCAAACTTCTTTTGTCAACTTCGAAGGGTATATATAATATTACCATGTATGTACTTCTTAGTTGTTATGTAAACATCCAGCCCAGGACTGTTACCTAGGCGGGTAAATGAAAAGGATTATCAAAAATATCTTATACGAACATCTTTCTCAGTACCTGCCTAACCATAGAAATTCTAAACTAATTGATAATCTAGGCGGGTTGTTCTAGATCATGATCAAAACGAAGTTGAAACGGACAGGATTCCACATTCATTGCCTGTTCAACTTATGCTTTTATCTGGACCAACATCGAGGAAGACATGTCAGTGGTTGCTCTTGACTTAATTCAAAGAGTACAAGGCGATTTTCTTACCGTGGAACATAGATTTACCAGCCAGATATTATCATATATTCCAGGAGCTGTTGTAAGCCACGAAATGCCACCCAGTCAAAATAGGGGCTTGTATGTTACACGATAAGATAAAGCTATAGACTGTTTACTTAAACCACGGCACCTGAGCTAATCTACTCAAGATGATTGAGCACCTGAAACTTGACTCCAAAGTTGATGACTGGAAGGTTGCTAAAGCTTGAACGCAGTAGAGAATGCCATCAGCTATTACAAACACGAAGCCACATCTGGTCTTTACCTATTTTAAGAGCAGGAATTCTTATGTTGTATGATACACAGTCATGTGGAAAACACTACGAAGTCTGATAACTATGGTATGACTTGCTATTACATCGGATATAAGGAGAAAGATAACAGGTCAATTTCTATTCATGCTAATAACGCATCAATTTAGGTAAACAATTAAGAGAACAGGTAAGACAAAATCCAATTTTACTCTCCTATTCACACGTGCTTCCATCAATGGCTGTTTCTATTGACAATCTACATGCTAAGTAGATGCTTGATATTTGCCCACTTACTGGGCAATCATTGAGACAAAAGCTAAGTGGTATCGACGAGTATTATAATTCTCTCATAGAATAGAGGTTTATCACCCGAGCATTATGGTTCTCATATGCAGATTTCCTGTTGAGTCTACTTCAGTCCCTGGCCTATAGATGTCCAGTCCGCGTTCCCGCCGCTACCCACTCGGCATGTTCCGTCGTGGTTATAGGGCCGAATTAAACACCAACTACCGGAATAAATGCCGGAGCTACCTCTATAAGCCCACAGATCTCTATATGGACGTCGCCGAGCCTGAGCTAAATATCGTGAACGTCGAAGCACGAGGTCCCTTATTCGTCAAATTCGTTACACGACACGTAGACAAGCGGACACCGGAGTTATTTTGTCCATGTCCTCCTTTTGACACGATGCGTAGAAGCATGCATGGAAAATAAGACGCCGTCTACGCCCAAAGAAACCAAAAACGGAAATAAGCATAGGAGATGTGCTCAGCATCGCAAATTAACATCATATCTCCACGGAAAAATCGCATAACTAATGCGCGCCAGTCTGACTTATTGATCTTAACGTTGTGACATCGTTTCCGCTCTCGAATGCGGACCGTCGAACCATAAGCACCTAGATAGACGCATGCCATATTACTGTGTTCGTGCCACGCATCTGCGTACGTGCTTACCTGTCGGCAGCTTCGCATCGCCGGGAGCTGCGGGAGTAGATCTGGCCAGACCCTTAAAACCCAATTTCCGGGGCCGTGCAGAATAGAAGGGAACGGACGATGATCATGCAGGGACACATCACAATATGCAGATGTTTGTGCCATTATTGGACTACTTCCACAGAGGCAATTGGCATATGGGAAGATAGATAACCTAGCATGAAAGGCCAACTACTCTAGGACTAGCACGATGTCTATCCTGCGGGACGTCAAGCTAGAAATACTCGGCTGGCGGCTAGCCACCGAGGCGTCCGGCATTCCATCTCAAATGGATCTACATTCGACCTTACCCCAAATTTCGTCTCCAATTTCCGCGTACGGTGGCTCGCCAGGCGCCAATGCATCTCACGAAGCTTCGGAGCGGTCTAGACCCTCATGTGGCTGCATATGTATGAGGATTTTGATACCTCCAGCGATCCAAGGGCCAGGAAACAGGGGATTGATATCTTGGCGCCGCCCGGATGTAGCCATCGTCGGCCAAGCCAGCTTATCTTCACTTCGAGACCAAGATCTCGGCTCGTCGCGCGGTCTAGACCCTCTTAAACCTTGGGGGCCGGCTCAACGTCATCGCGGTAGTGGTTCAACCTTTAATTCATTAGTGTCTGAACCGTTGTCGCGGAAGTTGTTGTAGGCTTATGTAAGACATTGGAGATAACTGGGGAGGAAAATGTTAACCGACTTGGGATTTATTTGTTGGTGCGGCTGAACTGGACGGTAAGGGATAGCATTCAGCTAGGGCGTACTGAGGCTTGGGCTATGGCGGCCACGAAGGGACAGAATTGCGTATGGAACGTCGCTAGTTATCCCTTACGTGTGTGTGACATCGTAAGCATCAAATATGCCATCATACTAGGGCTATCGCCGGCTCATGGATGTCCCAGCGCCCATCCCACCACGGCCACCCGGCCACGAGCTCCGGACCCCGGGGAAACCCCCTCTACCAGTTCGGCCTTGACCACGACAGCCATAGCAGCAACAGGAATATGAAGCCCCACCACTTCCGCCGAGGCGACCACGAAGCGCATAGGGATCTTTATCCAATCTGGACGGCACGGCAACGTCGCTCATGGAATCCTTACTAGCGGCATTCCTCGCGCGTCTCGGCGCAGAAGGAACCGGCATAATCACGCTAGAAGCCCCTTCGGCATTTCTAGGCGTCCACGAGTTTCCCAACCGAGCACAACATCTGTGCGCTCTTTCCCTCTCTCTCTCTCTCTCTCCACCCACCATATCACCCACCCTGCCAACCGTCCCGCTGATAGGGGAAAAAAAGCAGAGGAAGTAACCCTTAAAGCCTAGCGCCCTATTCTAGCCTGAGGATCTCACAGACTGCGAAGCCTGGTCCTTCGAAGCACGCCGGCGTAAACACGGCCTCGCGCCTCTACGGCGCATGTGCGGAGTGTGGACCCTCGCCGATGTCTGCTGCCGGGCCCGGATGCGCCGGAGGAGGTCGGGCGGAGGATAGAGCGGGTTAGGGTTAGGAGCGCGGGGGTGACGTTGCAGGCGCGGAGACGGAGACAGGCGGAAAGAGCTGTCCGGGGATCATCACTATGTTACGTAGGAGGGATGTTTGGTGGAGTTAGGTATTTTGAATTGATCTGCCATGAATTTTGGATACGGCGGAGGAGGCGATGCAACGGCGATAATGTCGCAGGGAGCTCGGCAGAGCTCGGCGAGGGAGCTAGTGGCGGAATGTCTTACCCCTTATGGTGGTGAGGTTTAAGGTGAGGGTGAGGGTTGCGTGCGTAATGCTCGCGTGGGGGTGGGTTACGTACGGTTAGACCCTAGCTGGGTATAAACATATCTCATACGCACATGCTGCGGCTGCTGGTTGTCGTCATTGGAGACGTCGCTTGGAGGTTCTATGTGAATTTGGGACATCCCAAAGTATGAAGTGGGTTAATTCACGTTGTGTCTCGGCCGTGTCCCATGTCTCTGGTAGATAGGACTCTTTTCGACCTCTTGCATATGAGTTGTGTATCGCCTCTTTCGGCGTATTTCTAAGCTGAATGTCTTAGAAGCTCAAACACCCTTCCATGGAGGGCGACGGAGGGATTCCCGTGGCCTTATCTTGCACCTGCCGCTTCCCGTCGATATCCTCGGGTCCAAGAAGCCAATAGGGGCTATGCGCCTCATATGTTTGGGCTGATCATGCTCACCTCCTTGGCGACGAAATACGGAGATTGAGATGACGATGACGGGGCAAACGCGTGGTTCGGCAAGCAGGGGCTGACCTACCGTAGATAAAGTTTGTTGCATGCGTTAGCCCATCCTGGGGTAGAGGGTCTGGGATTTTTAGGTGAGGTTGTAGTTGCCAGTGTGGCTAGTGGTGGAGAAAGAATCTGCTAGGGCCATGAGACATACAGGACGCATCGAATAAGATCGTGAGCTTACATATCAAAAGAGGGTAGGCTTGGCACGAACCGTGTGGCTCGTATCCCTGAGAAAAGGACTTGGCACCATCACATGCTCGCGGCTAGTCTCTGAACTAGTGTAGAACGCGAGCTACGCCGGTGATCATTGCTATGGTGCCGGGTAAGTGCTAGGTGAAGAAAAGGGGGTCTGGTGAGTTAAATGCGACATGCGCGTATTCCGTCGGGTTTCAGCATCATATCCAGCTGTTTGGAAAGATTGCAGCGCTTTCATTCAATGCTTATCAACATCATCAGCGTCGAGTGACGCAAGGGCCATATAAAAGGATATGACGTGCAGAATTAAAATGAGGTTGAGCCGTCTAGTCGGAACTGGCACCGGCAGGATTCCGCAATTATGATCCCGGGCCTGCCGGGGTTGGAAACAGGAATCAAATCTCCTATCTACGGTTTGGCTGCTTGGTTTCCGAAGACAAAGGGTCCGGAGGAGACACTCCTTAACGCGATTAACCACTTCTGACACTAGTCAAGGGGCGATTTCTAGTATGTAACACCAGTGGTAAAATGACGATAGGATAAACGAAAGCGGATACGACGGAAAATATCATCACTACATAGTACACTACCTAGCTCCGTACTCGGGAGGGATGTGGCTGTGGCTAGTTCAAGTAAAGGTGTGGCGACCTATTTGACGGAAAGGGATGATTAGACCAATCATCGTATAAGCACTGGGCACATTCGCCTTAGGCACTCTAAACACTACTCGGCGGCACACGACTCGGTTGTAAGCATACCTCTCGTCGACGAGGTGGCCCCTTAAGTTTACAATTCAGTATCGTGGTGCGTTCAATGGAGATGTAGTATTGGCACACCTAAATATGATACCCTTTGAAATCCTTCTTGTAGGTAGCATTGTGGCATGAGAGGGGCTGAGGGGTCGTCAATTGTAAGGAGACTATAGCGATGGACATTGGCTACGAAATGCTCCAGTTACTTACTCGGCCGAAATGATCCAAACTTTGGCGCTGAGGTAGGGCTAAAGGATGGAATAGGGGTGGCGATTGGACCACCAACGTGCCATTTAGTCACCCCCAACAAGAATTTAGTATGGGCTGAATCGTGCCGAAGGTCTCATTACCTTGGAAAACGACCGAAGCGATGTGAGCCTCTAGCATAGCCGAATATCAAACTCGCTTCGAATGAGAACCATCTTCTCCAATTTGTTGATTTTCAATTTGTTGATTCAAGCTCGGGCGAAGTTGGCCCGCTGCGATGGTTTGTATGGCTGTCTCCAGATAGTCGCGAGAAACTGCCTGTAGAATTGAGACCTTGAAACAACACGACCAAGCATGCGCGGCTCGAATCTATGGCCGATTCGTTTCTCAGGCGGATGGGAGAGATGCAGGCCCTTTTGTATCACTACTATGGCAGACGGCAGATGGCTGAAGGAAGTTAAGTACCTGGTTAGGTATTCAAGCGACTCGTAGCCCGCCGAGCCAAATTGACAGCGCGGGCCGAGATAGATATAATTGTTAGATCTCTAATTGGTTTCGACGCTGATCAAACTAAGACGTAAGTAGAGTTATATTCCAGATGATTGTACGTAACTAAACACGATACGTGTGTCGTGTTGGTTTTCCACTACAGCGAGTTGGATCCGACTTGAAATCCACTACGGTTTGCACACGACAGCAGGTGATAGAAAGTGACTTGTCATTTCTATCGGCGAGGCCCAGAAAGGAACATTGAAAGAACGAAGCGCGATACGTCCACCTCAACTGCACCTGCACAAGGAACCTGATGCAAGTAATATGAACATGCGGGCTTCAAAGACACTGTATGGACACCGCCGAGGATGAATACTTCAAGTTGGTAAAAGGAAGCCGACGTCTACACTGTGCTGCACAATGCGGCTTGATTGCTGATTAGGCAATAAGCCATGTTTCTAATTAGGTATTTTATTGGATTTATAAATATCTTTCACGATGTACTTCCTTCAACTTTTACGTATAATAAACTTATATATGTCCTAGTCAACAAGAATATGTACCTAGGTTGGCATATACATAGCTTCCGGCGCGAACGGGATGAGAGATATAGGTCGTAGGTACGCCTCAGGCCATTACCCCAGGTTCCTGCAAGGGCACTCACTCACCAGCCTACGCTACCCACTGACGACCCAGATTCCATGGAGCAGAACACGGATCCGTAGGTAGAAAGTTAAGGGTACATCACTTTTTCAGTTGATATCTAGCAACTTCTCGTACCGTATAGTCTAAGCGACGATGACGCTGACCTCCATCAGCTTAGCTCGGTTTTAACATTGGCCGCATGGAGATTTTGATCTTACATTCTCACACCCATAAGTTAAGTAGATCGAAGGCGACGACTTGCACTTTATGCCCATCTTCTGATGAGCTCCCTATCTCGTCGTAGTTCTAGCTTGAGTTTGCCGCTCTCTTTCTCCTCTTCGTTTCTTGGATCTCGACGAACCCCGGCGCAAATCCCAGAATTCGCGCCTGTCGCTTGCGGCGGAAAAGTATATCGCTCGAGAGTCCATACCTACTGCGTGGTAGCGTCATCGTAATCGATGGATCCCTGTTCCTTGTCCCGTTCTTGGTACCTAATGTTTGTGATAGTGCAACAATGCCTCTTAACGGAAGTTTCTAATGAAGATCATCTAACACCCATCAATGCTGGATATTGAACAATAGGGCACCGAGACGAACTTTAGGAATTACGCAGTACTTTCTAACGTTTACATGCTGTCGATGGTGTACATACCGATTTATCCCGTTATTGTATTACCTGTCGCCGATTTTCGTCGTTTGAGTGGTAGCTACATGTTCAACGTGGATCCATAGATTCAGGTAATGGATTGAAAGTCTGGCAGAGGCTTCTCTCAAAGGAAAAAATATCCTTTCTGCGGTGCAACGACATGGTTGTAGGTCCGAAGCGAGGTACCATTCAATGACCGCATTGGGTAGCGGGCGAGGCGGGGATCCCTCACAATAAGCGCTACTCGGTTGGCGACATAATCGACAAATCGATATTCCGTCGCGGTTCAAAGGCCAAGAGCCCTGACGATGAAAGTTGCAGAAACCCTGCATCAACGTCTCCTCCTACGTATGGACATCAAAGAGGTAAACAGTCCGGGGAAAAGTGTGTGTGGGGAAGAAGGGTCTTGAAGAGATGGCTTTTTCGTCACTCGTCCATCTTGCGATGGCTTGCTCATGGACGAGGCACGTGTGGTGTCGGACGTCCATGGATTTTGCCGTAGATGATATGGCATCGTGAAGTCAAGCACTGTTTTCTGCGAGCCGATATTATAGTCTAGACTGCGGTCTATGTAGTCGATATTGGAGAGAATGCTACAGTGTGGTGACGATGTTTTCCTGCTGTCAGGGATGCTGTCTAGGTATTGAACCAGCTAGACGTAGAGGCTGAGTTTCACACTCTCACACAGAGCCGACGCGCCCTTGAATGATTGCTTCAGGTTGTACAGATTCTCAAGTCACAGCAGATGCGCTTACTGCTGTTGCTCTAAATCAGAAACGGCTATGCTTGCGGCATTGCATCGATGGCAATCTAATGATCGGAAATGCAGATATTCGTCAGACATCTTATCAATTGATTACCTTCTTCCTGGTCTATGTAGCTTTCAAGCTCAAGCAAGCTGTGGACTTGACGGACAGTATTGTCGTCACCTAGTAGGCGGGATCAAACTGCGGCGCATCCTTTGAATCGAATCGTGCATTTCCCCAACTAATCTATTTCATTTGGCAGCAATATTACATGGTATAATCGGGGGCGGGTCAGCGATACCCCTCATTGCGTGCCATGGGTATTTCTGCTTGTTTGTAAATAGCAGCAACGGAATGCTGAAAAAGGATGGATGACAATATGTTGCTGTTTGAGACGAGAGCCTCGCCGAGTGTTTGTTCTTGGCCGGAAAAAAAGAAAAATAAAGGGTAGCCGATGTATCCCTCTGATTCTCCCTTTCCGGATAACATCCCACGCATAAAATAAAGAAAAGATTGATAATCGTTATCTGAGAGGATTAGCAGCCGTTGTTACTACAACGAGCCTGTCGATCAGATTGA